CAACCATGGTACAAAGCTCGCTGCTCACGTACGTAGTGTCCATAGTTGTCCATAGTTTGTACGCCCCGTAGAAGAAAACGGAAGGGGATTTTTCTTTTTCTTTTTCTTTTTTTTTTCTCTCCTGAATAGGGAAAAAAAAAAGTATGAACCACTCATTCAGCACTTTTGGTACCCTTGTTCCTAGCGTGTCCCAGGCCTTTTGTGATTTTCCCACCCCCATGAAGACCGGGCAAACTTCCTCACGTCCTAGAAGAAGTACCGAGAGTAGCGCAGAAACATGGAAGAGAGGGAGAAAGAAAAAGTGGGCTGAGCTAGTATTTCACATTGATATTTTTTTATGATTTTGTATTTCCTCAAAACTTGTAATCTTATTCTATAGCTATTTACTATTATTATCTGGTTCAGTTTGACTTTCCAATTTCCAGCCTGTCATTTTCGCATGTTTCTCTTCGTCCCGGGCCGTTTTCCTCCTCCGGGTACATTCCTGCTTCCTTCTGGCTGGGTTGGGTTGGAGAAACAAACCCTGGGTTCGTTAAACCCTATATAACCAACCCCGATAAGTTCGTATGAAGAATGGCGTACATACAGCAATCAATCATCAATCAATCCCGCATATAGTCTTAAATCCCGGATATATTTAGCAAGCCAAATCAACTAGCGCTGAATAATCAACTTCCTGCAACAGATGGCCAGCACTAGCGGGCGCGCGCGCCTTGCCTAATCCAATTAATCAGGACTGTCTCTGCTTCTTCAACACCAGCGGTAGGGCTTGGGGGGATTCCTTTTGAGACTTTTGCCATCCACGGGCCGTCAGCCCCTCTTCCTTCTACGGACTCGGGCATTACCCGAGTGGATCCCATGATGCATGATGCAGGCCCGCCCCTCCCCTCCCTCCCTTCCTTCCCTTTCTCGCCCCGAACCCAACCACGGGTGGGCTTGGGCTAGCTAGCTGGCTGGCTGGCTGGCTGGCTGGGCTGGTTTTGGTTTGCGTGCTTGTTTGGTATTTTTTTTTTCTCCTTTCTTCTATTTGATACCCCCGTACATATCCATACCACCATACATGTCTGTATTGGGCAATATGTTCCATGTCCCATCCACAATGGATGTAGTATAGTATAGTAAACCACAAGAGAAGGGGCCAAAAAATATAACAAAAATAATAATAGTACCGAGAAGGATTCGTAGATAGGCTAAAGCTAATTAACTATGTCTGGTTTGACGTCAGCTCTGCTTGTCATTTCTGCAACGTCCTTCACATCCGTCCCACTTATTGATGATGATGAGACTGGCTTCTGCAGGCCATTCCTCAGCTGTCTTGAAGATACCGAATTGGGACGCGCAGGGTACATGTCGGATTAGGCGCTGATACTGCTGACTAGTTTGGGACTATTTTTTTTGTCTTTCTTTCTCCTCATTTCCTTTTCTCTTTCCCCTCTTTTTGACGTTGAGGAAGGTCTGTTTGTATTGATGCTCATTTCTCGAGCTTGAGTCTGGGTCATGTAGGTAATTGTACAGAGGTGGTTGGGAGGTATGTATCGGTATCACTGTATGTTATATAGAATACCACTACCATATAATACCGTCTACTACTCCTAGTACCTACATCGTACCTACTTCACTCTACCTACCTACCCGATAGCCACATGATGCACTACCGGCCAGCAAACCAAAAAGCAAGAGAAACAAAATAGAAGAAAAGAACATCAAAGTATTAAAACCAGTGGAGTTTCCCCTCTTCAGGCTCTAGACTTTGCCTGGGCACTCGCCAGTTCCAAGTCTACTCCGTACTAGTCGGTCACCGAGGCACTGCCAAACAGGCCGAAAGCCAGACGATGATTCAGCTGATCTCCATTCTCCATGGCACCATCAGTGCTTCAGCTGCGTCCCGTCCACACCGATGGGTCAACCGGCGTGTAGGACAAGGGCCCACCCTGTCTGCGGACCGTTCTTCTACGGCTTTTCTTTTCTTTTCTTTTCTTTTCTCTTTCTCTTTCTCTTTCTCTTTTCATGATTTATTGGTATCATTTTCTTTTATCTTTCCTCTTCCCTTTTTTCTTGTCTTTTTTCTTGTCTTTAATGTCTCTGTTCCCTCCGATTTATGAATGCCAATAATGGTCAACACGTGTCTGCCTTTTCTGGCCACCGGTTGCTAGCAATATCTGGGTTGGGAACAGCTCCTGGAACAGCTCTTGTATTCAAACCTGCTTTTTACTTTCTCTTCTTACAACCATTAGACCCGCACGCATGAAATCGAGGAATCGATTTCAACGAATTAACCCTAGGTCATCAACGCTGTGTGATGGGAATGAATCGCCCGCGTGGTGATTTTCTGCGATGGGACCAATAGAGATCACCCTATCCAAAGAAAAAAAAAAAATCAAAATGATCATAGGTACCTCAGCTCCAGAATGCCCAGTATCCAGTGTCCACCCTCCGAAACCGTTCATTCCGTCCGTCCTTTTCATAAAAGAAAATAATAAGATGAATAAAATAAAATAACATGATCTGTTGCAACAATCATCATCAAGCCCACAGTAATTGAAAGGATAGGCTCCAGTGGACCCAGCTCGACCCAAGGAATCGTTTGTTGCATCCCTTGAGATCTCCATCTGCGAATCTTCCCGTCTTTCCCGCCTTCCGTCAGCCGTGGGACTTCACCTTGCGTCTCGTGTCCTTTTGACGCGCTTGACCAACCGTTTTTTCTTTCTTTTTTTTTCTTTCTTTTTCATTTCCTTGGTTTTATTTGTTGTTAATGTGAGTATTTGCCTCCCGGGCGGACCGGTCGGGAACCCAGAGAACCACATATTTCGTAGTAATGAAATTAGTATGAATTGTATGTCTTGGTAATACCAGGACGTATTTTGGATGGAGATGATATTGCTTTTCTCTATCAAATGGTGAGAATATTGGCAGTGTTGAAGAAGTTTAAGGTAGTCCAGTCCATAATCAGATCTAGAAGAAAAGAAAAGCACAACAACGATAACAAGCAATCTCAATATTGAAAATAAAAACGTGTATATAGTCGACTCCCGTACTCGCTCCCTTGCCTGTTTTCATCCAAAGAGTCAATCAACATCCCCTTTCCCTCCCCTTCCCTCATTCCTCCCTTTCTACTCCGTACCGTTGATTGCATCCAACAGGAGAGTGGTCCTTCGACCTCATCGTCTGTGCCAGTCACCTGTCGCCGCGCCCTTGAGCTTCATTCTGATCCTATCCGTGACTATTACCTATTTGGTCATTGTATCACATCGAAGACGAGACGGGCTCTATTAGGATTTCTGCGCAGGTCTGTCCATCGCCTGAGCTTCACCATGTCAGGTCACATTACACTTTCCTCCTCTTCCCCCCCCTGCAGAAACCACGGTATTTGCTGGTTCAGAATCATTGTCCGAGCGCACCCTGGTCTTTCCGTCTTTCTTCCTTTCTTTTCACGGCCTTCGGGTTCTAGCTTTTCTATGTCCCCAAGGGGAACAAAGAACTTGAACAAGATCATAAGATGTAAACCTAATAGAAGAGGACCTGGAAATTAATTGATACCGTTTGTTAGAGGATTGGCCACTGTGTTTCCTGGAATTGGAGATGTTTGACCGATACTGACAGTGTGCATTACACTACTGCCAGGCGTCAGGGCACTACTATAGTATGCACTATCAAGATGGTTCCTTTTTTTACACTTACTGAATCCGTACACTACACTAGCTTTGGGCTTGTTTGATATCTGTTTTTATTTTATTTATCTATTTAATTTTACCTTTGATTTTGTCTTTTTATCCACCCATTTTATGAATATTATTTTCATTTTCCTTCACTCTCCCTTTGCATTTTATTATTTATTTTCATAATATTCTTTTTCCACCCGCCTGCGGACCCATCCGAGCCCACCTGACTATTCTTATTCTTATTACTCCGTATCGCCATCTGATTATTGTCACCATCGTTATTATGATGACTGTTCGCTGCATTCTGTATCTTTGGAACTTATAATACTGCCATTATTCCTGATACTCTGCTTTACCTATGACTTGAGTCTCTCGTGGCTACTAGTATTCACGTCATACTTTGAATCTCTTGAGGTTCTTCTTTCCTTTTCCATTCAATACTTCCACCTCTTTCCTTTCCTTTTGTCACTTTACTACCTGTCCCTTTTTTTTTCAATTTCCGTTTTTGATCCACTGTGGAATCATTCCTACTTTTGATTTTGTCTTCCCCCCTCTGTTGTTTCCTGAAATTTTGATCTAATTTTTTCTCCGCCTCACTCTTCTCCACCGCTTCTCCCCGTCACCAACCTCAACCTTGCCTCCTTACCCGCTGCGTTGTTCAGCTTAATTTCCTCTTCTAAGGACTAGCTCTCGGGGTCTCTTGTAATCCCCTGACGTTCCAACCGAACTCAGCGTGACCACGAGGCTATGCTAGCCTTGCAAATCACCCGACGGAAGCTGGAATCATTTCTCATTTGGGCTACTTTCTGACCGGCTTAGACTCCGCATCCCTCATCCTGGTCACCGTACACCCCTCGCCTCCCGTACATACGAACTTACCACAAACACATACCCCATACACTATCCTTACCGTTACAACTTACTTTCCATACGTACATACGTACATACATACGCCTTACCGCGGATTTCATTTGCTCTGGGTTTTCTTTTTCTTTTTCTTTTTTCTTTTTCTTGTTCTTTTTTTTTTTTTTCCAATTCCACCATACGTACATACATCCTGCCATACAACACTACGCAGGTCTTCCCTTCAGTGACCAACGACACCAACAAATCTTCCCCATCACTACCTCTCTCCCTCCGACTCCCACCACTTCCTCCCCTCCGCCAACTCCAGACCCCTGTCATCTCCATTGTCCTTGGCCAAACAACCTGCGGGACGTGACTCTCACATCATCCTGCATCCCGTCTCCCCCCATCCCCCACCCCCCCCCCCCCCCCCCCCCCCCCCCGTCTCTATCCGTCTGTGCCTTAAGGAGCCTCCTTCGCCTCCCTCGTCTACAAATGTCCAGCAACCCCCACGATTTCGGTGACCCTAATCGACAGGGACAGTATCCGCTGCCTCAGTGGAACGCTAGTCAACCTGAGGATACCGCTCCTGCTCATTATCCACCGCCCTCTCAGTACCCTGTACGTCAGATGATGATTTCTTTGTCTTTCCCCTCCCCACACGCTCTGTCTATCAGATACCTTCTTGGGCTTCCCCGTCTACTTCACCCGCGGGCTCTCCCCTCGGCCTCCTCTTGTCATCGCGTCTTGTGGGAGACCTCATTGCGCTCCGTCAGATTCCTTTCTTGCTAACACAATGCTTTCGCTCCAGTATCCTCCTGCCTCATATCCTCCTCCGCCGTCAGATCATCCTTACGCTCCACCCTCGTCGCAATACCCGCCGACCTCGAACATGGCCGCGATACACCCGCCAGATCCTTATCGCCTTCCGCCGCCCCCCGGTGCCTATCGTGGCCCAGACGTATACGCCCAGGGTCCACCGCCACAAGTTGTCTACCAAGCTGCCGCTCCGCGGCAGCGGACCGCGATTGCTTGCCGTTACTGTCGCCGACGCAAGGTGAGTTCGTTGGATTGGACGGTTTCGCCTGATATGACATTGGATGGTGGTTGTTGACACCGGTGTTTGCGATTTGATAGATTCGGTGTTCCGGTTTCGAACATTCCCAGGATGGACGTTGCAGCAATTGCATCCGCTTTAACCAAGAGTGCATGTTCACTCCCGTCTCGTCGCAAGCGCAGGCGTTCGTTCCGGCCCATGCCGCCTACCCACACCTGAGGACCGCCCAGAACTCTGGTCGTCCCAACGCGCAGGGTGTTGTGCTGTATGGTGCCCACGGGCAACCCCTGCCTCCACAACAACAGCCCCAGCCGTCGCCGGATACGACCCTCCCCCCGCCGCAAGGACTGTACCAGCACCCATATGGTGGCGCTGCACCTCTTGGGTCTGTCCCGCCAGACCAAGTAAGTGTCCTGTTGTCGATTCCGTTGAAGGGCTGGGAGGTATCGGTACTAACAGTGTGCACCAGCGATCGGGTGGTCGCCGCGGTTCCGGCTCTGGATTCGAATATCCTGACCCTACCAACCTCGCCCCAGTAACACCAGCCACATCAGCCTCGGGATATCAAACCCATCCTGCCCCCAGCCCGTATTACCCTCCTCCCCACGATCGCCGCCCTTCGCCCCAATCGGCCTACCCCTACGATAGCCGCCATTCCTCTTCCCCCCACAGCTCGCCGTACCCTGCAGTACAACCAACCGCGATGACGCCTCCCCCTACATCCACTCCCACTGGATCGTCGCGCGGCGGACTGAATGTTCGCGACATGCTCAACCCCGGCGACGGCCAAGGTCGCTCGAGTACGGATAGCGACATGCTCAACGCCCTGAACCGACGAGGCTTGAATCAATAATTTTCGCGAAAACAATATGACATGACTGGGGAAGAGAACGGCGCGGTTTAATGTGAGAAATGGGATTTTTGAAGATATACGACGGACGTGGCACGAATCGGTGGGAGGATATGCAGGAACCACCTCCAATTTCGCGAGTCGACGGGGAACACACGATGCCTGCTGGCCGCATTGCGCGCTGTGCTTTACAACGGCTACGGGACAGATCCGAGTGACGCGGTGGGAAAGACGGAAGCAAAGAAAGATTTCAACAAACAGAGAGAAACCTCAAGCAATATTTCATCGAAGTGATGGTGAATATGGGATGTTTCGTCGAGCTTGTCTGGTGCTCTTTTGGCCACTCACAGTCGCGACGATATTTGCAAGGCCGAATTCCCGATCTGTTTACGTCTGCGGAAGCATGAGACGAAGGACTATGACACTGCCAATCTATATTACGACCATGGAAACGACAACCAAGCGATACGAGCTACATGATTTGGACCTGGATACCGTCCTCACTGACTACGATCATGGTTACCGGCACCATCTCTGCCAATTCGGCGGCACGTGGTGGGACGACTGTCAGTGCGCGGCAGGCGATAACTTGCAACGACTTCCTCAAATCTATTTCCTTTGCCGAATGACACATCACGACATTATAAACTATCCGGGGCAACCCGTTAATTGAAATTTCTCTTTCCTTCTTTTTGTGTTGCTGTCTTTTGCGCCGTCAACTGGATCTCCTGGTCTTTTGCACCGCCGAATTCCGATCCTTCTTGCAATGCGACGGGCTGCGCGATATCGATATCCGACAATGCGTATCGAAAATTTGAGCCCTAATTTTTCACGGCGCCACGCAAGACCTGTTCCGAGATTTTTGTGAACTGAAGGCAGAATGTTTATACAAACGCCTTTGTGAAGACCCGAAGGCAAGGGCGCACCAGCTGGGGTCTTTTATGGCGCTGTACGATGAGAAGCGCCTTGGTGGCTTTAATTTCGGGGTCGACAGCGCGAAGTTAGGTGGAAATCTGCTATGTTTTCTCCCGGTTCGTTTCCTACATCCGTCTACGAGCTTTCTTTTTTCTCTTCTGTTCGGCGGTGGTTTGATCGTTTCCAATGTTCCAATACATCTCGGGTGGCTATCTGCTTTGCGTTCACGTTCACGTTCGACGTTTTCGTCTTTTGCCTTGTTTATTTTCCCCCTGTTAACTGGTGAGGCATTCTTATCTATTACCATCATCGCGAAAAGGAGGTTCTATGACTATTATCGCGAAAAGGAGGTCTTTTCTAGTTGATTTTATCTTCACGTGTTTCTTTCTTTTTTTTTTTTTACTGGGAGGCTGTCTGATCAAATTTTTTGTTTTTTCCCCCTCATGAATGGTGCAAGTTCCATCGTTTTGGCTTTGACTAATATTGCACTGTCTATGCATATTACTGATCCTCTCGGTCTGCCTATTGGATTATGGTATGACGAGTTGAGAATTATTTGAACTGATCTGAGATCCGTAAGATAATTTCATTAGGCATCGATTTGTAAGGCGCATACACTGGGTAGATAGCCGGTGCGATGTATGTCTTGTGTATTATCATATCGTTATGTTTACGCTGTGAGAGATACCCTAGGTGTGTACCTCAGTATCGAGCACGTATACTAGGTTTCTACTTAGACAAAGTAGGTATCTTGTCAATATTGGTGCGCATAAATGAAAATAAAACAGAGACAAAGAGACCAACGTAGTACGTACGTATGCGGTGACAAATCCATAACCTACAACAGCCCTAACCAAAGGAGCCTTCCTTCAACATTCGTCACCACCCGCCATCAAGTTGAGTAGATAGATGGATAGATCGATCGAATACCTGATGGTGATTCACACCAACTGTGACTGAAAGATTGTAGAAAGAGGACTTGCGGTCCTTTCAACTGGGATTTAGGGATTCATTTGTCGAGTGGAATGGGATGGAATGGATATCATGGGCGATTATGGATGGGCTGAATGAGGTTGTGACTAGGTATGGTACTTACTCTAGGCTGGAGCTTGGGGTGGGAGGGGGCTAGGTGGATGGACGAGTGAACAATGTGTGTTGAATGGAATAGCATAGGGTGAACTGGACTGGATGTGAAGGGGTTGCAAGGGTGCAACATTGATGGTTTGTTGATGGGTGCTATGCGTAGGTGGTTCTGGGGATCGATATCAAATGAAGAGGGAGGGGAATGGGGGTAAAAGTTACAGAAGTCAAATCAGGCCAAACAAGAAAATTGGAAGGAGAGAGATTGAAGTGATATTGAATATTATTTGTTTGAAGTCATGTAGTAGGTCACTGGTTACTATTAGTGGTATTTAGTGTTAGTGCCAGTGCCGTGTGTAGAATAAGAAAGGAAAGTGGTGAGGACATACCAAGACAGGGAGAGGGAAAGGAAAGGGAAGGGAAGGAAGAAAGTGACAAGGGGTGAAGAGGGAAAAACAGCAATACACAACCACAATAGTAGCCAGAGAGAAATCAACCAGTATGACAAGAAAGAAGAGAAAGTAATACACCATCCCAGAAGTAGTCTGAGAAAGAAACGATAGACAATAGACAATAAAGAACGTAGGAGACAAGAAGATACACGCTGATCAGAAAGTTCAAAGGAGATAGACGATGAAGTATCAAACATAATGAGAATAAATTCAAGAATCCGGGAAAGCATCGATAACATGCGCCATCTTCTTCGCCCTCGCAGGATCCTCAACCAGCATCCCCCGCTGCTGCATCACCACGCAGATAGTATCAACGACCTTATGGAACGACGACGCCGCGCCGTGTTCCTGCTTGAAGCGGATAACGCTCAGATTCGCCTCACGGCCGTGCTCCAGCACCGTGCAGAACTCCGCTGAGAACTCGACGGGGCGGAGGCGGGGGACTGATACATTGTCAGTTAGTCGCTACTCTACTTCTGTGTTGTAGAAGAAGAGGGTAGGGAATGTCTTACAGTTCACTTCTCCCACTTTGGCATAGATAACGCTATTGACCTTGTCGAGGAGCACATATTCGAGTCCATACTGCTTCCAATCCCGGAGAATCTTGTACACGTCTTTGCGGCCCTTCATCTTCGACGTGTTGAGGGCTACGACCCGCGTGGCGGGCTTGAACTGGAAGAGGCGCGCGAAGACGTTCTGGTTTTTGCTTTGCGGATGCGGTAGGCGTGGGAGGGGCTTCTCGGTGTTTTTGGTGTCTGTGGAGGAGGCCCTGTCTGTTGGGGGCGTAGCTGTCTGTTCGGAGTCTGTTGGCTCGGGGTCTAGGGTGATGGTTAGCGTTGTGTGATACAATTAGGGATTGGGATGGATGTGTCTTACCAATTGGAAACTCCTGGGGAGGACTCTTGTTGAGCCGCCGTTTCATCAACCGCTTCAGGAGACTGGGTTTGCGTTTCTTGCTGGTCTCCTCGTCGTTCGACGGCTTTTCTGACTGGGTTGATGGATCGTCCGCGGTGGGCTCGACCTGGCGGACGACGACCGTTGCCGTACTTGGTTGCAGGGTTTTGACTGCGACTGATGTGTTGCTGTCGGTCTCGGTAGAGCCCTGGGCCCAGTTGCGCAGCCAGGACCACTTTTTGTACCCAGAGTGTCGGACATCGCCCTGTCGCGGAATCTCATCGTTCTGATGATTAGGGCCCAGGTCGGCAAGGTTGCCGTTGCCGCCCTGCTGGGGAACGGCAGGTGGAGGTAGACTAGGGGGATGGTCGCTAGAAGTGTTCGGAAGTAAGGGCGTCTCTGCTTCACTGTGATAAGTGTCGCGCTTTTTGCGAATATTGAGAGGCTTGATATCCCCGATGGACAGGAACGAGCTTTGCGGGACCATCCGCACGGTCTTCTTATTCCTCCGGGTAGGGGTGGGGATACTTGGTTGTTTGCGAACGGTCGACTCAGAGGCCGTTCGCTGTTCGACTTCCCTAGCGCTGGGAGTGGCATGTCTCGGATCGGCGTTGGGGTTCATCTCTTCAGAGATTATGGGAAGACAGTTGGTGTCGGATGGCGGGTTGGCAAACGGATCGGTCACCACGGGCGTCTTGTCATCAGTGGTGTCGGGCCTCTGCCGCTGTCTGAGTTTGTCCTGCTCTATCAAACGATCCAGGTGAGCGATCACGGGTACCAAGTAGTCAGGGATATCCTCGCAACCATCCTGGGTGGCGTGTTCGATTAGTCTGCGGCGAGTGTCTTCCAGTTCCGCTGCCCTGTATGACATGTTTGCCGGCGTAGGGCTAGCATACTGTCGTTTAGCTGAATTTGGGGCAATATGTCGCTGGGAGTCTTCTGGTGTGGGCATACCCACCGAGGTTGCAGGAGTCTCTGAGTCCATGCATGTGCTCGTGGTGCAGTTCGTTGACAGGGATCCGCCGTTGAAGGCTTCCTCGCAGATCTGACTGAGCTCGTGAGACACATTGCGGGTGTCATCCCGCCACATCGCGTTCTGGTCGCGAGATCTCTTGGGTTGATGGCAAGGTTTAACTGTGACCCCTGCGCCTCGTACCACTGTCGGCTGGGCTGGCAACAGGGGGCTGCTGAACCGGTCCGAGAATGGGTCGAGGTCAACATCAGATCTGAGACTCGACTCGCTTGTTTGACGCTTGATATCAGCTGGCAGGGGTGGTGGAGTATCTTTCACCCGCGCACTGGCTGATCCCTGGGACCGGTTACGGACGTGGCGGAAGGACACATTCCGCTTGTAGGCGGCCGAGCGAGACGTGTGAGAGGTGTTGAGGCGCCGACGAGAGCTACACTGCGATGTCTTCGACTGGAACGACTTTACGGAGTTGACCTTCGCCCTCTGGTTTTTCACTACCGAGAATGGTGAGCTCGGGGGGTTCTCCTCTTCCTCTTCGGGGTGCTCTTCGACGGTGTTCGGCGGTTGGACACCGTCCAGTGACTGGTGCTTCTTGCGGATCCCAGAAGGCTTCCTGTGGATAGTGACCTGGGCAACCTTGGGTACCTCGGGATTCTCCGCAGTGATTCGGTATCGCGGAGACCGGAACGGGTCGTAGCTTTCAACAGTCGCAGACGACTTCAGTTCCCGGGGAGTAGAGCCCGGCCTCCTGTTGTTTCCTTTGACTTGCAACTCAGCTCGGCCTCGGGAAGCGCTTGGCGGCCTACTGGGAGTTCGTCTAGAGCCACGATGAGTGCCACGCGAGATGTGATGATAGTCACTAGCCGAATGCTCAAGGGGCTGACCCTGGTAGTTTTCTAGCTGCTCGTTTCGAAACCGGACTAAAGCGTTGTAGAACATGCGTTCGTATGATGGCCTGTTGCAAAAAACGTCAATTCACGCCCAGGGGGCAGATAGTGGGTTAACTTACTCGCTACTAGTGAGCCTTTCAATCAATGCGTCAGGATGAGCGTCGTGCCAGAGAGTCTGAAGGTTTCTCAGAATGTCGATATCAACATCGTGCGGACTCTTGACGAGTGAACCACATTCACTTGTTGACAAGGGAGGAGCAGGACCGATGTAATGGTTGGCCATTGCCTGATGAAGCTTCTCGTACTTCTTCAGCAGCGGGTGACTCCACATCTCCTGCATACTAATGCGGTCTTCTGGTTTTTTCTGTAGAATGCGCTGGATGAGATCCGCGGCTTCATGGCTGAGCTCTGGCGGGATCATGTAGACGCCCTTCTTCACCAGGCGCAGTGTCGAGCCTAGGTCGCGGCCATCAAAGGGGAGATAACCGGTCAGGAGAGCATACAGAATGATTCCACAGCTCCAGATGTCGGCCTGGTCACCGCGGTACTTGCGGCCGTAGATGATCTCAGGTGCTGCATAATGTGGGCTTCCACACGACGTGTTCAACCAATGCCCGGCCGGTTGAAGGGCTGCCATACCGAAGTCCGCCAATTTTACATTGTGCCACGCATCCAACAGGATATTCTCAGGCTTCAGATCACGATGGCAGATGTTGAACCGATGACAGTAGCCGAGCCCGGCAATGATTTGTCTGAAGAGTCGGACGGCCTCCTCCTCTGCGAGTGGCCCGTTGTTGGACACGTAGTCGAACAGCTCTCCGCCCTCGACGTATTCCAGAACAAGATACCTGGTACACAATTAGAAGCTTGAATCAAAGTATGCATCTCTGTGGCTTACAGCTCTCCTCGGTTCTCCCACACATCATACAAGCTGATCACATTCGGATGTTCAATCAACTTCATGATCACCACCTCCCGTTCAATCCCCGACGGCATTGGACGCGCACCGAGTCCATTAAACTGGTACACATTCCGGTCCATCGCAGCAATACTCTCACTCTGGGCTATGGCGGCAGATTTCTTCGAGACGATCTTGACCGCAGCCGTCTGCCCCGTCATCGCATGTTTAGCCAATCTCACCCGACCAGTCGCTCCCCTCCCAAGGGTCTTGCCCAGCTGCCATGGCCCAACATGAGTCTTTCTCTTCCCCTTGTTCGAGACGATGGACGCCGCCGACATGGTCGAGTTCCTGTTTGATCCAAACCGCGAGTCGGTCCCTGACGAACGACAGTTGTATTCCACGTTCCCTTTCGCCGACAGCGGGCTGGTGACTATCGACATCGGCTCGGGGGAAGTCATCAGCGCCTCGTCTGTGCAGTACCCCTGCTCTGTGGCTGGCGTCATCTGGTGGTTGACTCTCTCCGTAGCATCGATAAGAGGTGTGCGCATCGTATAAGGGCTAGATCCAACCCGTTTCTTGTCCATTGCCAGCCAATCCACGCTAGCTCAACAGGAGTATCTCAGATCACCACATATGGTCAGACAACCCTACCAATGCTCGTCTTGATGATGGTTTGTGAAATACGGTGTCCAACAAGCTGATCAACCTGTAAGCGTCCCAAGTAGACCAAGATATCACAACGTGTATTGCAAGATCGAAAGCAGATTCAAGCGAGCAGCCAAGGTCGAATTAATCTTCTGTTGTATCACTACCCAAACCAGCAACAAGCCAGCATCAACCAATTCACAGAAGAACGTCGACAATCACTGACTGACTGGTAAACAAAAACGACTCATCAACTAACAACAGCAAGAATCAAAGGAAGAATCAATCAAGAGCAGAGATGAGAGAAACGATGGAAGCAGAGGAACCAATCCCCTCCCAAGCATTCCCTAATCCGCATAGTCAACAAACACCGTGGAATAACAGAGCCGGCTCAAAATCCAGTCTGAGGCATGCCATGGTGAGGTCGAAGAGTGTGAGGAATGAGCAGGTTGAGCTGTTTATTTTGCGCTGGATTCCTCTGATCTCCCCGGGAATCACGCTTTGGAATGTTCCTCGGCCGAGCAGAACCTTGTCTGTCTTACTTCTTTCTTCCACTGGGGATTGGGAATGAAAGAGTGAAGTGAAGAAGTGGTTTTGAGTCTTGTTTTTGGTACCTATTGACCCTTCGTTTTGTTTTACAAGTTGCTGAGATATCTATCACTGGGAAACTGATATACAATCAACTCAAGGGACAGTACAGTCTGACAGCATTACTCCTACTTGCCCCATGCCTCACGAGTGACAAATACCCAGAAACAATGACTCTGTCAGAAGGGGGCACGACAAGGTGGTCCGATGGGCCACCCTTTCGGCAGACTGAGTTTGGCCATACATGCCCCCCTTGTCTCAGTTGACGAAGGGGGAGGCGACCAACTATCGTATTACTGAGGACATCGCCAATCGTCGCATTTTTCTTCTCATTTCTTGGCCCTTCCGGGGGTGAAAATATACAGCTGGGATGGGCCCAGGCACCGGCAACACATTCCAGGGTATAGATAAGAATGACTCGTGTGTTTTGGTTTTGCCATTTCTGTTTGGCTTATTTGTTTGGTTCTTCTGCACTGATTGAAGCTTAGGATCAAGAAATTTTAGGTATCCTCACAGATGGCCCATACTTGATCGAACACCCACAGCGTCAGCCCAGGTGTACCTGCATAGCATGTCTAGGCTGCATGCTAGCCAAGGCAACAACGTGCAAGACCATCTTTAACCACGATAACCTCGCTTCCAAAGAAGCACACACTACACTCTCTGCACGTAGCCGCAACCCTTGTACCCCCTCACCAATGCTCCTCCCCAATCCCCACATCCTCAACATCAACCCCATCAACAAACCACCTCCCCTCCCCATCCCCATCCACCCCAATTAGCACATCATTCCCACTCATCATCCTCTTCCGCATCTTCCCCGTCTGCCTCTCAAACGTCCAGTCCTCAAGCCCATAACACCTCTTCCACCGCATTCCATCCTCGGCATCTTGATACTCATACCAGAACTGCACCGCGATGCGGTCATCGTTGAAGGAGAACAGCTCCTTGCGAAGTCTGTAGCTGCGCTCGCGCTTCCATTTAGCTGTTAGGAAGGCGGTGATCTCGTCTGTTCCGGCGAGGAATGAGGTGCGGTTGCGCCAGATGCTGGTGGGTGTGTAGGCTTGTGCGATACGACAGGGGTCTCTGGGAGGGAGTAATGTGGTTAGTTTTGACGAGGGCGGTTGTCTGTGCAGACAGGGGTGGTAAGATCTTAGTGTGTAATGAGAAGAACAAGGGAGAAGGACGAGTGGTGTGGGGCTTGGAACCCAGGGACAGTATTCTACACGAGGTAGTAGCATTACGCTGGGGAGGGTAGGCAAGGGGTAGTTCAAATATGTATGCTGCAGCCAGCTCATACGTATCCCCTTGAGAGAAATAGCTTTCTCTTGGAAGACCATTTGATTGTTCGTTGAAGACTATCACTGTCTTGAGCTGGTGATAGCAAGACGTAGAAAGGATACTCAACACTAATGTTGGTACTCACTGTGTATTCCATAGATCCTGGGCGGCTTTCACCTTCTTCTTAGCCGTTTCTTCCGTAAAGGGCGGTTTGATATCAGCCATATTGGTAGCTGCAGATCAGTCGATTTGTTTCCTTATTTAACCTAACGTAGGTAATTTGTAGATGAGGGGTAACCGTCGGTCATCATCGGTGTCGTTCTACATGGATGACTGTCACGTGATTGACCAATCAATAGAATCTATGGCCGCTTGTAGCACTTGTAATACTCCTGGTATATGCATCAAGAGATTATAAGATAGTTCTTCTGTTCTAGCTTGTCTCAATATAGACAAATTAAACCGTGACTGGCCATCGGTTCATCACTCACGCTGTGGCAGTAACTAGAGATATATATCCGATAGGGCAAACCACGGCGGAGAAACACATAGAGTTATAGTCTGTTACTAACCACCCACAGTAAGTCATCGCATCATTGTGGATGATTCGCCTGATCGATGTTGTATCTAGTATTGGTACATCCAATAAAAGTTCAGATGAACGAATTTGATGCAATGGAAATATTGAATAAGTCGAGTGTGTCACTAATGGTTGGTATATATGGTAGCTGCTGGACTTATATACTACTAGCGAGACAGAGATAGACAAAGGCAATAAGCATAGATCCTCGAGAATTACTGCCTAATTCCTGGATTTAATATGACTTGAATAGAATCGATTATGTTATAGGCTAAATGCCATCGTGCCCATACTCGCATCCAATCCAACCCCCCCGACTTACAATGCGTTCATGTTTCGGTAACATCCCGTCCGAAGTACGCCTTCCGCTCCTACCTATTTGAAAACCAAGCACTAATCGAACAGACATAGATTCTATACCAAATATTATCCCATCTTCCTCTCGCCCCCCTCATCCGCCTATGTCGCGCTTCATCATGTCTCGCCGCCGTGGTCCAAGATTACGTCCAACACAGCATCCTCTGCCACCATGCGCCCAAATCGCCCTATAAACTGCAGCTCACCGTCTCCGAGCCGGCCCTCATGACCAAACACGATGACCTGGAGCTGACATATGCCGGCTGCCTGCCCCAAACAGATCCCCTAGGGAGGGGGGCGGAGAAACGGGCCGAGCTGCGATCAGATTACAGTCGGTTTAAGGTGTGCAGCTCCCGGGGAATGGACAGCGGAAATAGTCTAGACTGGCCGACGAACGGGTTCAGCACTGTTATATGCCTCGACGAGCTGGACTCGTTGTATCAGTTCCACACCAACATGTACTACCAGAAGCGCGGGCCTCGCAGCGGTTTTTTCACGGGTGGTAAGGAAGATCTGAAGACTGTGCGGTTATGGAGGAACTGGTTGGGTAGTGAGGAAGAAGAAGATGTGGAGCAGAGCCCGCGAGAGAAGGATCAGATTATCTGGACGGGATGCGCGCCCGATGCGATCGGGTTCACGGTCTCGGTGCAGCGACATACTCCGTCTGGGGAGGATGAAGACGCACTGCAGCTTTCTTCGGTTGGAGGGTCCAGAGAGGCGTGCGAATTCTACAAGGTGAGGATTGGGGAGGTGCTGGTTCGGAATTCCTACCTGTTGGCTTTGCGGGAGAATTTGGTCAATTGATTTCTTTTGGGGTGAGAGGCGTGGTGATTGCTTTCCCTTGCATTATGAGTCAGTCTAGCATTTCCTGCCGGGGTTCCTTTTCGATCTTGTCAATATGATACATACCCCGACTAGGCTGAAAGCCCATGCACGGCCGCAATGTAGAAATCCACGTGATACCATGCGTTGTAGAACACGATGTTGAATAAGAGATTACCTAAGTTAGTGTATTGTTTACAAAGTCCATCGATGACGACTTGGTCTGGCCGGGGCGGCTTGCTAATAGTGCGCCATAAGCCAAGCAATATCGGGCAATCTCGAAGAAGCCGATTGACTCAGCCGACCAATCTTTGTCATCCATCTTATCAGATCCTATTTTCACAAGGAGACGTGAATAAGAAGAACCGGCGACTGATATGGTGGCACTCGAGTCCGATGGCAAATGGAGAACCAAAGTTGGGATCGGGTTGAATCATGCAATTGGTTTACCCAACCAACGGGTGAAGGGGAACCTTTGGACAATTCATGGTAAATGCTCGGTTTTTGGGGATGAGTATGCATGGAAGACACGTGCGTGGCAGTATTGCCGCCACGTATGACTGAGGGAATCAATGCATCAATGCCCGGTCAAGAATTATGGGATTTGGTCGGTTATCGGAGTTCCCATCACCGCCAGATCATCCCACCGTCTCTGTCTATGGAGGGGAGGAATTAGGCGGTGAATCTTTATGCAGTGGACACTCCACCAACAAGGTACCTTTATGCAGCCACGACTTGGCGTTGATTGGCTTGATATTGGTATTTTTTGGACCGCCTTCTCGTCATGAAGATCCTTAATTGCTCAACTCCGATATTCAGGGAGAGAACCTATACCTTACATGAAGACAGTACATCACTTCCAGAGTGATCCATGGTATAGTCATCCTACTGGTTACATATTGGAATTAAGCAGACAAGACACTCAGCTAAGAAAAAGAATATGGAGGACCTCATGGAAGATCAGAGGAGTCACAACTGACTGGAACTGCCATGACCTCACCGGCCCAGAAAGCGATTTGTCAAGCCGTTCGGTCTAGATAGATGAGCCGACGAATGGGATTCGGGATTGGGGATTGGCGGGGCCTTTCCACTCCTCGGGTTAATAAGTCCTATACTGTAAGGATCGAAAAGGTTCGGTATCCTTCTTCTGACCTTCTCCGATAGGAACCGTAAAAACAATTCCCTATCGGAGCCTATCGTAGCCGCCACTTGCTGTCTGCCCACTTTAAATCTTTCATTCCTATATAACCTCCTCCCTCCTTCCCCTCCCCCACTCATTCCGTCTTCTACTCACTTATCTTCACCTACTCACTTCTTCCTACACTTTTTATATCTTTCTCCCCCTTTAAATCACCCAATCTCTCAAAATGTCTGGCCTCAAGACCGGTGACAGCTTCCCCGCGGACACTGTCTTCTCGTAAGTTTTTTCTCAACCATACCCTCTTAGAGATATCTTCCCCGGTGTCGGTATACTGACCTCTTTCCCCACAGCTACATCCCCTACAGCGAGGAGAAGGGCGAGATCACCGCCTGCGGTATCCCCATCAACTACAACGCCTCCAAGGAGTGGGCCAACAAGAAGGTCATCCTCTTCGCCCTCCCCGGTGCCTTCACCCCCGTCTGCTCCGCTCGTCACGTCCCCGAGTACCTCGAGCGTCTGCCCGAGATCCACGCCAAGGGTGTCGACGTTGTTGCCGTCCTCGCCTACAACGATGCCTACGTCATGAGCGCCTGGAGCAAGGCCAACGGTGTCAAGAACGACGACCTCGTACGTCTCCTCCCTACCTTCTCTGTTTCTCACTCATACTAATATTCCTTCAGCTCTTCCTGTCCGACCCTGATGCCAAATTCTCCAAGAGCATCGGCTGGGCCGATGAGGAGGGCCGCACCAAGCGTTTCGCCATCGTCATCGACCACGGCAAAGTCACCTATGCCGCTCTCGAGCCCGCTAAGAACCACCTCGAGGTAGGAACAGGAACCCCAGACTACTGTCTTATGAAATCAACGCTAACACTGAACAGTTCTCGAGCGCCGAGACCGTCATCAAGAACCTGTAAATGCAGGACAACTCAAACAATAGATGTGACATGGATTTAATAGACGGCGCTAAGATTCCCCTGGTGCAGTTAGTGACTTGCAAAGACGAGGACTCGCGTTAGAAATAGATTTTCCACCATGAAGGAAAAATACAAATCTCTTACGAAGGAATGAAAAAAGACCAGCATACCCAGGTAGACATTATCACCGTAAAGTAAATAAAAGGATGTTGATGAGCAGAGAGCCCCAGGTATGACTGCAGTAAAAACTAACTTCGTCAATCCCTCCCCGGTCCCAAACGATCTACACTCCCCTCAAACACTGTTTGGGCTATAATTGGTGCTTTGACGCCGTGGTGTGACTTGGTATCGGCCCGGAAGGGTGACGGTGACGCGCTAAAGCCCAAGCCGTACAGGCATCGAGGGGCCCGTCTCCGGGTAAAATCCAAATTAGAAAGAAAAAAGTTCCAGGCCCCAACCAACCCCATTAACCAAGCTTTTGGTCTCCCACGTCACGTCTCTTCTCTTATTCCTCTCAATTATTCCATTCTCACCCCGAATAAATCAACACCGGCCGAAATGGCCCCCACCCTCCCCCCCAAGCGCAAGCCCGACGCGCCGGGAAAGTCCTCCTACAACGATGGCTCCGCGGCCGCCCGCAAACGCGCCAAAACTTATGACGCCCGCTCGCTGGCGGTGCAGTCGGCCGACGCGGCGCTGTCCGCCTCCGGGGAGCTGGACGTCGCTGCTTATCTGGAGGCGCGGGAGTTCGAGATCCGGTCGCTGGAGTCGGGCATGCAGCGGTCGAAGGCGGCGTTGACGACGAGGGCGTTTCAGCAGGTGCCGCGGTCGCTGCGGAGGAGGACCGCTAGTCATAATGTGAAGAGGGTGCCGAGTCGGTTGAGGGCGAGGGCGAAGAAGGAGGTATGTTATTTATTACTCGTTTATCTGCTGGTTTTATATGGCACGCTCGGTGATATAAGGCGTCTAAGTAGCTGACTTCGTGATTTAGATGGCCGAAGACAACACCCCAACAGTATCATTCCGCCGCCGCAAACCCACCGAACTCATGCGCATCCGCCTCGAAACCGCCCGTCGTCTGCAAAACCTAAACGCCAAAACGAAAGCCAAGCGCGCCTCAGCAAAAGCCCAGCGCGACAGCGAGACGCGCAAAGAGCTCGCCTCAACCGGCAGCCACGCATTCGACATCGCGCCGCGCGTCCCCAAAATCAAGAAAAACAAGCTCTCGCGGCCGCCGGCGCCGGAGTCCAAATACAAGAAGCGCCAGCGGTGCAAGACGTGGCTGCCGACCCACATGTTCCATGCGAAGCGGGCGCATATGGCGACGTCGAAGGATCCGCTGTGGCGGTTTGCGTTGCCGTTGTCGCCGACGGAGAAGAGTTATAGGCCTTCTCATCGGGCGAGGGGCGCGAGGGCGCTGTTGCGTGGGATATGAGTTATATGGCTACGGTGCAGATGGAGGGGCTTGAGGAGGGGTTAGAGAGTGCGTTGCGTGCTGTTGGGGTGGATGGGGATGATGCGTGGGGGGTGAAGGGTCGGAAGTGGAGGGCGGGGACGAGGAGCTTGAGGGCTTGGGTGTTTGAGAGTGGTGGGTTGCAGAGGCCGATTGCGCCGGTTACGCTGGTGCGGTGTGCGGAGGTTAACTCTGAGGATGTGGAGATGGTCGATGCAGGTGCTGAGAAAGATGCGAAAGCGAAGGCCAAAAAGAAGGTCTTTATCAGGGTCCACCCGTCTGCGTTTTTGCAGCTGTGGAACGAACTGTTGGAGGTCTCGAAGAAGCAGAATCCTCCCGTCATGGTGGAAGACCTCCGTTTCGAGATCGGCAGTATCGACATTACAGGTCCTGGGTCGACAGAAGCTTTGATTTCGGCTTTGAGACCGCTGGGAATGGACGGGAAGCAGGTGCCGATGGACAGCGTGGAAGCTACCTGGAGATCTTTGCTAGGGGTGTCTAACCCTTCATCTCTCCCGCTCAATGCCCTGCTCGGTTTCTCTATATCCGATCCCCGCCTGCACTTCCCGCCCCAGAGCCTGAAACCCCCGTCCGCCGACTCCAACATGGAGAACCTAGCCATCTTGCTATCCTCCTGGACACCCGATCGCACCCAACAAACCCCCGCACTATTCGACCGTCGCGCACGGTTGGCAGCAGCCCGCCAACTCCCCAGCCAAAAAGCCATAAACCGGCGCCGCACCGAAGCAGGACCAGGCGAGCTCCCGACCCCAGTCGAATCCGACCCACGCATACCAGTCATGGTCCTCACCTCTCGGTCCACCACCCAGTCCAAGAACAGCAACGCCCCAGGTTACTGGACCATCCTCCTCCCGTGGAAGTGCGTCACTCCCGTATGGTACTCGCTCATGTACCACCCGCTCTCCAGCGGCGGCAATCCCCGGTTCGGCGGATTAAAAGAGCAACAGCAGCTCGCATTCGAGGGCGGAGAACCTTGGTTCCCGGGCGACTTTCCCGGCACGCAAGCAGGCTGGGAATGGGGCCTCCGCCAGCGCGAAGAAGCTAAACAGGAATGGGAGCGTCGGCCTAAAGGTCGACGGGTTGAGTTCGCGAGTCTGGATCTGGGGAATGGACAGAAGGGGGAAATCGGCCGTGGTTGGGCGTGTGACTGGGAGAAGCTCCTGCAAATCGCGTCGGGCAGTGCTCCCGACAAACAAGAGAAGAACGACCAGAAGACAACAGCAGAAGCAGAGGCAGAGACCAACATCGCAAAAGACCCCCCGCCGCCACAACGCTCCCGCTAAACATCACCCAACTCCCCCCCACCAAAGCCACCCGCGCCATCCACGATCCGTCCTCCACCCCCATCGACGCCTCCTCCCTCGCAACAGTGCGAGTATCCCTCCTCAACCGCGGCACCCCTACACCCCGAGCCCGCATCTACCGCCTGCCCACGACCAACACCGAGCTGCGCCAGCAATGGCTCCAACTCGCCTCGAAGCCCTCAACAAACAACCCCTCACATCCTACTCCCAACAACGAAAACCAAGAAAACGAGCGCTCCCGCCTCGCAGCATCCCTAATCACCCCTCTCCACCCCGAAGACACACCCCAACAAAACCACCTCCCGCTCCCCACGGAAGAAGACCTGATCGGGTTCGTCACGACGGGTAACTATAACCTGTCTGAGGGCAAGGGGACGGGTATTGGCTCGATACTGGTGTCGAGGGTTATGAGGGGTTCGGAGAATTTCCCGGCGGGGGCGAAGGCGAAGAAGAGTAGAGCTCGGGAGGTGAATATGTGTATTGTGAGGGCTGCTGGGGAGACCGTTGGGAGGTTGGGCAGGTGGGAGGTTGTTTGATACATGGATGAAATGGAGTGTTGGTTGATATGGTATGATATGATATGATGGTGATGTAGCTGCCTGGGTACCTATAAGTAGGAAATCTGCGTGGTGGATAGGATGGGATAGGATGTTGGTGTTGTTGTTGTTGTTTAGAGATACCCTGTTAGATATTTTATGCCCTTTCCTTTCCTTTCCTTCTTTCACTCTTTTCTCATGAAATGTAGACTGTATAAGCTAGAAACGGATGTGTCTGCGGCACTGGTATGAACCACGGAGGTAATAGCTGGCACAGCCGGTTGTCTATCCATGACCGAGGGAGCAGATGGTGCCAAATTTCAGTCTCTATAATAAATATAAGAGATATAAGAGATACCCCGGATTGAGCCGCGAAGACACGACAAGACAAGTGAGCCGCAGGGCAATAGATAGATAGAAATAGCTAACTGTACATATACACTCCAATAACATAAAAGAAATCGATATCTATCAGCGAGTGCAGTCACCCACTCACCCACACTCACTCACCACACACTCACACTACATGCTTACAATACATAACATAACTCAATCACTCACACATCAACGACAACAGCAACCTCAACCAACAACACGATCAACAAAGGCCTGCTCCATACGCGCAACCTCCTTCTTAAACCCCTCCACCTCCTTCCAGCAATCCAGCGGCCGCCGATCGTTCAACCGCAAGCAGCTAACAACATCCTCCTTAGCCTTCACAAGCCCATCATCCAGCTCCACGAGCTTCCTACGGCCCTCAAGCTTCGCCCGCAGCTGCTCCACATCCTCGTTCACCGAGTCCCGGGTCAAACCGCGGTTGATGGGCTGGCCCTGCGACGCAGCAGCAGCGGCGGCGGCGTCAAAGGCGGGGGCGTCCGTCTCGCGGCCGGCGAAGGGGATGCGCGGAGCGTCCAGGTTCAGCGAGCCGGGTGGGTAGCTGTACGTGGTGGTGGGTGACGGGGCGGCGGGGATGTTGTTTTCCGGGGCCTGGGCGATGCGCTTTTCGATCTCGGCGACGGTTTGCTGTTCGCGGGCGCGGATGCGTTCTAGTTCTTGCGAGACGCGCGCTTGGATTTGGAGTTCGAGGGATTTGGCGCGGGAGGAGTCGGTCTGTTTTTTTTTTTTATATCATGGGTTAGTTGCTGGTTTATTTGTTGTTGAGTGTGGAGGGTGGGTGGGTTACGCACCTCGCTGCTGGACTGGAGGGAGTCGACGAGGTTGGAGGAGAACTGGACGGGGGATCCACTGTTGATATGTTAGCATTGTTGCTTCGTTTGGTTTGACATTGTTGGTTTTGCTTGAGCGTCATCGCCAATCGAAGTGTTTTATGCTGCTTCGGTAGTCGCCCAAAAGCATCCGAGTCCAGCCGATTGAAACAGACAACATGCACAGAGATCCTGTTCCTTCTAACATCGATCACAAAAAGCAAAAGCAACTCGGCCCAAGACAAACCAGCAGAATCCAAGAAACCTACCTCGAGAAGATGTGCTTCGACCCGGCCGTAGCCTCGGGCTTTGAGCTGCCGGAGCCCATAATGTGCGGTCTATAGCAGAATTGAACGGTCTTTTCAACTTTTTTGCCCGGCTCTTGCGGATCACCGATTCAGAACTGGATCCGCTGACGTCTGGAAATGAGTGCGAAAGCGCTATGCTGGGGGTAATTCCGAATTGTTCAGAGAGGGAAGGGCCGTCGAGCTGCGATGATAATGTTGCGAGCAGCCGACTTCCGCCGTGGTCACGTGAATTGATGGTTAGTCATCGGTCGTTAGCAATGATCGTTATTGTCGTCATTGGATTTGCTTTACGATTTGCTATATGCGCTGTGATTTATTTAGTTGGGCTACGGTTTTATTATACCGGCAATCCATGCAACATATCTGGGCTAGATGTGTCAGGAAAGATCAGAATAGCTTAATGCTATTGTTAAGTCACGTAATGTGCAGGCACAAAGCTGACTGCCAATCCATCACGCCCTTTATTAAAGAGAACCGAATACCCTCATAGGCCATCTTTATTACTTGCATTCAAAGTCCGGAAAACTTGTTCAATCTGTACAGATTCCTGGGACCAAAATAAGAGCCATATAGTTATCAAAGTCTCAAACACAATATTCAAGCAACCTCCCAGTTCTAGGTAACAATGGTTGGCATCTAAATCTTTTGAACATGGCTGTCTATAGTTGTACTTAATAAATATAGCAAATCTGTTCCAGGATTCCTGGATTGCAACATACAAGGCTATCCCGGTGATCAGCAGCAAACATGATAATACCACCATTACACAACTGCAGAATCTTCGGATCTGTGTCACATTTGTCTCTTCTCTCCGCTTCTTTCGCATAAGGTTCGAATTTCTCATGTCGTGACCCGACGAGGCCGACCTCTACCCTACTCCAACCCGAACTATGAAGGCTTGCTATCTTCTTGTGAATACCTACTGATATAGCCCCGTGTGGAAGTATACTGTAGTGGCTGGATATGTTAACTGGGTATATACATAGATAGTAGTTGAGCTTTCTCGATCCCTCTGATAACACGATGCAGATGTAAATCAGAATTTGGTTAGTAGAGACGAATGTTGGAATGCCACGATTATGCGTACCTTTGGTTCTCTACCTACGCATCTGATTCCAAAAACAAGGGCGGTAACGTATACTTAGTATCGAGTATGCTGAAAGACGTAGATCAGCCGGTCTAGAAGATCAGCCTTATACAATTCATGATGCAGGATAGCCAACCCTAAGCGTATGCTGTGACTGTGGACGACTCCGTGTCCTTATCAGATTAAACAATTAAGTACAAGTACAGAAGGTCTTGGCAATCGGTCGCGTGAATATATAGTCTACCATGTTTGATTGTTGTTCTTATTCGGTCTAGTCAAAGTACATAGAAGAGCTGATGTGCTCGACTTTACGGGATACACCTCCATCCTTTGTACCAGCTTCTAGTCTTTCGCTTCGATATTTTGTTATACTCGTAGAGTCCGCTTCCCTCTGGCATCTCGATATTGGTTGATATTGAATGATTTCGGCCTAGTCTACTTGGTGATTGGCAGTGGCTGCATTCTAGTTCCTTGTAGCCTTGGAGTCAACAATGGGATAGGACGCGATAAGACTCCACCGCGGATATTCTGTATGGTTGTAAAGTGGCTGTATGCATGTATACATGTAATGCAATCTAGTAGCGTTAACTAGTCATAAGTACCCCGTGTTTAGTATTGATATTCAGTTTTCGGACATCCTAGGGTATTAAATATCTCATATAAAGAAGGTGCTCAACAGACAATGGCTGTGTAAATACTGTCCCAGTCAGTCCATGACATTCCAAGTCAGTAAAGGAACGTTTAAACAGTTGAAGCCAAAGACTCCCATATGTGCAAATTACATAAGATAAACAAATGTTGAAGCCAGAGTAGCCCAAAACGGCGAAGGCCCAAAAAATGAAGGAATGCAAGCCGTGTCAGCAACATCATAAACTTTCCGTTCCCAGTAATGGGTAGTACTGTCCTTGAATACCAGGGAATTCTTCCTCAATGACACGCCAATCATAGACGAGAGGTAAAATTTTCTGTCAGAAAGTCTGACCAGGCACTTGACCAACTTCCAAGAGTTACTTGATCCTAACCTTTGTTTCTCACCGGGTGACCATGGGTGAATAGAGACCCCCACATTTGTTACCCGGGCGTGGCGTCATGGACTCTATAATACTTTGAGTTGCGTTCCTGATTTAGGGAGAGACACATGTAGTTGAATCCACGGATGTTGGGCTAGATAGTGTAAAAGAACCCTGTGCAGGAAGAAGATTAATTAAACATTGCTCCGTCTTCCGCTTCATCGGCCGGTGAACCCGGTGTTCCCGTTGGTCTTGTCGGCCGACCCTGATCCTATTGGTAACGTTTGGCTGGTCCTTCGGGGCTGCGAACCCCACCAACTGGCCTCCTTCCGACTGACCTCATTGACCCCTCCTCCGGTCTTTCTTCTAGTTTTCTTAAACAGCTTGGATCCTTGCAACCGCAATCTGTATCTTTGTGATAATCCTTGGAACCTAGCCCCCCCTTTCTATTTCTCCTTTATCTCTCATCCTTTGCCCTTCTTTCTCTTATACTCTCCTCATACTCTCTAAGCGGGGCCTTTGCTTGGTGTCAGATCTGTTTCCTTCCCCTCCGAGATCTCTCCTCCACCTACCCCACCATCTTCGTCTGCCTCTGATTCCAGCCGCTTCCAATGTCGTCCCCTCTCTTGGAAGAAGCTGCGCGGATCGCCAGTCAGTTCGACTATCCCGCCCATGAGGTCCAGCGTGGGGTCAAGGAATACATCCGGGAAATCGACGAGGGGCTGTCGCATGAGAACACCACGCTGAGCCAGATTCCGACTTACGTGACCTCTGTTCCCAATGGCACCGAAAAGGTAGGGTGTCCACATGCGATCTTACGCACCCCCGATCGGTGATCGCGAATCTAACTCGTTGACAGGGCCTGTACCTGGCGGTCGACCTCGGTGGCACGAATTTCCGCGTCTGCTCCGTCGAGCTCCATGGCGACACGACATTTTCGCTCACGCAGACCAAGATCATGACACCCGGGGAACTGATGGCATCGGGGTCGTCGAAGGATCTGTTTGTGTTCTTGGCCCGCCAGATCGAGTCATTCTTGCGCATCCATCACAATGAACACTTTGAGGCGCACATGCGACGTCGCGGCACCGACCAGCGCGAGGAGGGCGTGTTCGATCTGGGGTTCACTTTCAGCTTCCCTGTTCGCCAGGTCGGCATCAACAAGGGGACGCTCATTCGCTGGACGAAGGGCTTTAATATCCCAGACGCCGTGGGGCGTGATGTGTGCTCTCTCTTGCAGAGTGCCCTGGATGAGCTGGAGCTGCCGGTGCGCGTGGCCGCGCTGGTCAACGACACGGTGGGCACGCTCATGGCGCGCTCGTATACCTCCCCCGGCGAGACCGGGACGTTCCTGGGCGCGATCTTCGGCACCGGTACCAACGGCGCCTACGTGGAGAAGCTCGAGCGGGTGACCAAGTTGGACAACATCGAGCACGCGGACTATGACAAGTCCACGGGTGAAATGATCATCAACGCCGAGTGGGGCAGTTTCGATAACCATCTGAGTGTGCTTCCGAATACCGTTTATGACCAGGAGCTCAACGAAGAGAGCAACAACCCCGGCGTGCAGATGTTCGAAAAGCGCGTGTCGGGCATGTTCCTGGGTGAAATCCTGCGTCGCGTGCTGCTCGACCTGTACCAGAACCAGTCTCTGGGCCTATTCAAGCCCGGTGAGGGATCCGACGTCTTGGTCCCCGAGGATTCGAACCTCTTCCGCCAGTGGGGTGTCGACACCAGTCTCCTGAGTCTGGTGGAGGCCGATAAGACCGAGGGGATGGAACCGACCAAGGTCGCCCTGAAGGACCATGCGAAGATCGAGCGACCGAGTATGGCCGACTGCAAGGCTGTTCAGACCATCGTGCACGCGATCGGCAAGCGCGCCGCGCGTCTGAGCGCGGTGCCGCTGGCAGCTATTCTGATCTCGACCGGCAAGCTCCAGGCCGAGGACATGGTGGACATTGGCGTGGACGGAAGCTTGGTCGAGTTCTACCCCAACTTCGAACACCACCTGCGGGATGCCCTACGGGAGGTACCAGAGGTTGGAGAAACCGGCGAGAAGAAGATCCGCATCGGGATCTCGAAAGATGGCAGCGGCGTGGGTGCGGCATTGATTGCCCTGGTCGCTAGCCGAGAGGAAGCTCGAAAGAAGGCGCAGAAGTCGCAATAGTGCGTGTTTGGATCGTTAGGCCGAGAAATCATGCAGAGAAATGATCGGGTATCTCGTGATGATGTATGGACTGATTTAGATTGAATCGTTCCAAGGATGCATGGATCGGCCGTTGTTCGTTCATTCGCATCTAGGCTTGACTTTACTTGGTTTGATTTCTTGCCTTGTGTACTCTGCTTTCTTTCTTTCCTTTTTCCATTTCCCTTCTAATCTTTAGTTTTTTTCTTTTCATTTCCCCATGTTCTTCTGTTGTACCCGACCCCTTTCTGAGGTTTGGGAAGAGTCTGAGACGCGAGCCGCCAAGATCCACATTGAGGGTGTGGCAGTCTGGTGACCCGGGAGACGGCCGGTGTATAAGATATCAATGGTCATTTACGGCGTTTGATAATACAGGAAAAATTACCACTACAACCAATATTCTCCATCTAGACGTTGATTTGATTCTCCAAATGGCCGAGTAGCGTTCCCATCTCTATTGGCAAGCCGGTGCAACGGCGGCTGAGACCCCGGCGGTTGTAAATCCCGACCTCCGACGTGCATATCCATGGATGACGGAAGTTCATTACTTCCATCTGACGCCAAGGCGCGTCTGCCTCTATTGAACCAGGCTGGGCAGTCGTAGGCGGGAGATCATCTCTTTGTGGTCGGAGGCGTGGCTGAAGGGACGGATGATCGGAACTTAGGGCTCAAGATCCTCCGAGATGGATCGACGCCAGCAACAGCAAACTGCAGCTTTAACTATGCAGATGTGGGCTCCACTCTTCTTTATGTCGATCATCGGCAGTAGTTTAGTGTAGATATGCTCCCGGTGGCTGTATCTCTTTTGTTGATGTGCTCTTTATCCAGCTTTCATGCCCATGATTATATTGGGTTTATCACTGCACCTCCGTCCAGTGGTTACACTACAGCTCAGTGGTATTAATGGGATTTACTAGACAATGGATTTCTGATGTAATTAAACGCTGTAGACCATGGCACTGCCTTTCTGCTGATGGTGGGATTGAATTATTGACTTCCGGCTTCCCCTGTCAGGAAATCCAGGTTTCTTCTTCCCTTCCTTTTCATTTTGGTTTCCTACTTTATCTATCTTGCTCTGGACGTTTTCCCTTCTTTCCTTCCTTGATCTAGTCTTTACAAGGTGGAAAGCTCATAAAAATCATCCTCAAGCTTCATTTACTCCCTTTCTTTCAGCTGAGCTACTTCCCTGTTTATCGTTGCACGGCCCTCGATCGCTTCCATCACTGCTGTGACGACCACTCTCCATCCCCTCCAGTCACAAGCCTGGTACAGGGGTGACATTAATCTGTTTCACAGCGGGGTTTGAATCTCGTGTCAACCTCAGATCTCTCTGATTCTTTCCTATCCGTTGATCCTCGCTCCCAGAGCCAAATGACAGACAAAATGGCAGACACCCTCATCTCGTCGCCTCACGACAGACCCAAAGTCGAACTCGAACAGCCCTCGTTGGTCACTCATGAATCCACAGATCGAGAGACCACCTTGACAGAGTCACCACGCCAGGGTTCCATCAAATCAGCGTCCCCAGCGCCGGAGAATGAAAACAAACCCGCTGTCCCCGGATCCAAGGAGGTCACCGAGGAGCAAGAGGAAGAACACCCGGAGTATCCTTCGTCGTGGAAGCTCGGGCTGATCATCACTGGACTTTGTCTTTCTATATTCTGCTTGGCCTTGGTCAGTGTTCTTCCTTCCCGACGAGAGATGGGTGTCCGTGTGGGAGGAGGCCTCTGCTGACGTTGGTTCGATTTCAGGATAATACCATCATCGCGACTGCCATCCCGAAGATCACAGACCGATTCAAATCCCTCGAAGACGTGGGCTGGTATGGAAGCGCCTATCTGTTGACACAATGCTCCCTGACCTTGGTCTTCGGGAAACTGTACACCTTCTACTCCGTGAAATGGGTCTACCTCGCCGCGCTGGCGATCTTCGAGGTCGGGTCCTTGATCTGCGCAGTTGCGCCAAACTCGGTGACGCTCATCGTCGGACGCGCGATTGCGGGCATCGGAGGCGCCGGGTTGTTCTCGGGCGCCGTCCTCATCGTCGCTCAGACGATGCCGCTCGAGAAACGACCGATTTACACCGCGCTGTTTGGGGCCATGTTTGGGATAGCCAGCGTCGCGGGTCCCTTGATGGGAGGCGCCTTCACGGACCATGTCAGCTGGAGATGGTGTTTCTACATCAACCTGCCTGTCGGCGGCGCGACATTCCTGTTCATCATACTCTTCTTCAAAACGCCTAAATCGATCAAAGCGAAGACCACCCTCAAGAATACCTTGTCCCAGCTGGATCTGCTTGGGAATCTCTTCTTCCTCCCCGGGGTTATCTGCGTCCTGCTGGCCCTGCAATGGGGCGGCACGAAGTACCCCTGGAGTAACGGCCGCATCATCGCGTTGTTTGTGCTCTTTGGGGTTCTCATGATGATTTTTGCAGGGCTGCAGAAATACCAGGGCGAAAGGGCCACCGTGCCGCTGCGCCTGATCAAAAACCGGAACGTATGGGGCGCCGCGTTCTTCAGCTTCGCTTTGGGCTCTTCGTTCTTTTCCACGGTCTACTACGTGAGAACCCTGTATATTGCGATATGGAGATGGAAGTACTGACTGTGATCTACTAGATTCCGATCTGGTTCCAAGCCATCAAGGACGTCTCCGCGACCAAGTCCGGCATCATGAACATCCCCATGGTCCTCGGAGTAGTCATCTGCTCCTTGCTCGCAGGTGCACTAGTCACGCTACTTGGATACTACACGCCATTCATGATGCTATCCCCCGTCTTCATGGCCACAGGAGCCGGGCTCCTCAGCACAATGACCCCCGAAACAGGCCATCCCGCATGGATCGGCTACCAAGCCATATACGGCATGGGGGTCGGCCTAGGTCTACAGCAGTCCGTCCTCGTCATCCAAGCAGTGCTCCCCACCTCCGACACCCCCACAGGCACAGCAATGATAATGTTCGCGCAAAACTTCGGCGGCTCAATCTTCGTCTCAGTCGCCCAGAACATCTTCCAGAACAAGCTACTCACAAGCCTCGTCACCAAGGTCCCTGACATCGACGCCCGTCTCGTCGTCAGCGCCGGAGCAACCATGCTGCGCAAGGCCGTACCTCCCGACGCTATATCGACCGTCGTCAGACTCTACAGCGACGCCATCACCGAAGCATTCTACATTGCCGTCGCGATGGGCGCACTCGCTATCGTCGGGGCGCTCCCTGTGCAGTGGATTTCCGTTAAGGGGAGGAAATTGGAGGGTGGGGTTGCCTAGTACTTGCTAGTTTTTTGGGAGAGGGGGAGAGTAGGGATAGTATGGGATGAGGAAAGTTACATTATTTTGATTTTAATTGAATGTATGTCATGATGATATTTGTATTAATCTTTCATCGCTGCTTGCTTGGCCTTTGTTTGTGTTTGTTATCTGGTTGAATAGATTAATACAATAACAAATCTAGGTTGATGATTGCAGCGTATAACGGATAATGCAAGACCTATTCATTCCCCTTGAATCCTAATCGATTTTAAAAGAGAAACCGAAAGAAACAACGGATATATGGAAATCATGAAGGAAATAGAGACCCAGAGGACATGCATGGCATGCTGCGGACTGTAGTTTTGCGGGAACATCGCTGATAAAAGTGAACAACATGACGAGCAGAATATGTCCATAATAAACAGCAAACTCATGACTTCCCCTTTGAATGGGATATTCTCTTGTTTTGAATAAAGCAAAGGAAAGACCAGGTTGTAGTAGAAGACTAAGATTGAGAGGCAGACTGGGGTATCTCGGCGATCAAAGTGTATCCTTCTGACGCAAAGAATACCACTCGGCTACAAAAGATATCTATCTAGACACTTCTGAGCTCCGTGGGTGTCCTTGTGAGCACTATCTATATTGTGACATCTTCCATATCCACGCTGTGCAGCTTCGCGTAAACGGACAGAGCGGAGCGGAGTGCATGATTAATGAAGCACAGTGGCTGGGTATGATAAACTTGGATGAGTTCCAGGATGGTAAAATGAGGAAGGCTGCGCATCCATGCGCTGCGCTCAGCTGTCTCAACCCATCAGCGGACAAGTCTTTCAAGACGCTTACTTATACCGGAAATTGCCTTGTAGTTAGGTGGAATACCAGGGAACTGGCTTCGGCTGACCCCAATGACCCTAATAACCACTAAAGCCAAAAGGGGCAGGAAGGGCAAAATTCTGGAGTATCCAAATCAAAAAGATGTAAAAGCGCGGCAGTCGGCAGTCCGGCTGGCTATGGGCCTTCGGATTGATTTCCTTGGCCCGCCTTTTGTCTTTGATCTTCTGCTTGAATTTGAAGGTCAAGTAGACCCTAGCGGGATTGCAATTTCAATTGATCTCTAGACCAGGTGTGATAGACATAGACTGCCTGGGGGAAGTTGACAAAAGACATGACATGTTGACTAGTTCTTCGTTCATGCCGTGTGCGTTCTTCAGCTATCTAGTGACATGTTCATAATGTCAACATCCATGTATGTTGGCTCTCCAGTATGTATGCAACATTTGTTGTGTGTACTCTTATATGGTGTCTAATTGTATAGTTTCGTTGTGTTTCGCTCCTTGGATCACACGGAGTTCCGTGCTTATCCAGACTGTCATAGTCCTTGTGCAGCTGTGCTCTGAAGTTTGACTGCACTCTGGAGTCGATTGATTGGGTCATTGGGGTTATATGTTGACTGAAACCCCGGTCTCGGTTTAGTGCTTACTGAGTCTCTGCAAGCTTGGGAAAGCTCAATAGGATAAGCATGAAGCTATCCACATCCGCTATTGTGAGGACTGAGACGTGCGGGGTGAGAGACGTTGGAAGTTGAGGTAATATATACACCTGCATTGGTAAGGAGAGTTTCAGAAGGAAGAATAAAAGGAAGAAGAGGAGAAGGAGGAGAAAGGATATAGAGAATCAAAGAATCTGCATGGGGCTACGCACAATCACAGCTGAAAGTTAAGTGAAACATGAATTTTTTGCATTCACTGTTAAACCTAGCCTTTCAACTAATAAGCTGTGTTGCGCGGTCGAATTTGATGCCCCTATTCAGGGCTTTGGATAGAGATATCTTTACGTACCGTCCCTTCTTCCTTGAACAAAGCACATCGCTGCGCTACCTGATAATGTGCATAGAGTACGTTCGTGCTTACCTCTCTGCAGAGAAATCTACATATCTACGCAAAACTCTCGGGGCCAGTCTATAATAAGAGACATTGCCAGGCATGGTAATCCGAGACAGGCTACAGCTGCAACAGTCTCAGACAGCCATCTACCCACCCACCGTGCAAACAAAACGCATTCAGCGTCAAAGAGTCCATACCCATCTACCTAGCCTGCTATTGATCGATTTATCAAATCCTAGTAGCTAGCTAGCTCTATGGTGCGTATGCTCCGGTTTATGAAATAAGGATACCTTGCACATCTCTCCAGTCAACACACACACACACACACACACACACACACACACACACACACACACACACACACACACACACACACACGCCCCCCCCCTCTCTCTCTATAAATATATCTTTCTCTCTCGAGTCAAGGTAAAATTCCCTCTCCAAACAGCCAGTCCAACGATTACACTAACACAATGTCAATATCAAGAACGTGACCGAAGCGGCCGATACGCGTCCCTTCGGGTATGATGTACTTCTATTTTGGTGGAGCCGGCTGATAAATGGATGTACAAGTTCCCGGAGCACGAAGCTTGGGCCCCTGTCTTATCAGTCTGTCTTGGAACGCGAATGGGTTTATACGAAAGCTATTACATTGGATACCTACGTATCTTGACAAGGCGGGGGTGGGATATCGCCACGATGAAGATACCCTGTTAATTTATGCAATGCCCAGATTTATCCACAAAACTCTGGGTTCATTTGCGATTTCATGTTTCAGTCAACTGAAAAATGAGATCCATATACCAGAAAAAGCGTGAAAACGCTCGGGTATGAGGTACTTCTACTTTGGTGGAGCGGGCTCCCAAACGGAGGTATATGTCCCTCGAAGGATGAACCTTGAGGAAGACGGGCATACTGATTATTCACCAAAGCAGGTAAGCTGAGAGCACAGCATTATGGACTGGCTTTCCGGAAAAACCAGAGATGGAGAGCCGCTTTCCGAAAAGCAACTCTTAAAGAAAGTGGTACCCAGATTTAACGTGGCGATTGATCGATCACTTTGAGAATCCCGACTGGTTAGCCGGTCGGGGAGTGTCCGAAAACGAGCGGCACAGTTGTACAGTCAACCTCGCAATAACATGGAAACGTTCCGGCCAAGATATCCGACAATTGTTGAGATGTCGGTACTCAACAAGACACCCTGGGATACCAACCTGTCTTGGGACGAGAATGAGGTTATGCAGAAGCTTTCGAATTCCTACATATCTCGATGGCTCAAATCATGCTCCCCTGCTACGTATATTTAAGAAACTACATGTCATCAGTCAACGCGAGACCCAAGTTAGTCTATATATTAGAGATCGATGGTTTCGTTCTTCCCCATATACAGAACTTGTCGTATCAAGAGTCACTTCAATTTACAGATGTGACTCACTTCAACAATTCTCTGCGCTTCACATCCTTGTTAACCTAAACAGCCGCATATAAACTAAGGTAAACACTCCAGATCACCCCGCACGCACTTCCAAACACCACACGCCGGTCTAGCGGAACGACAGTGTACATCAAGACGGACACCAGCGGCCGGTACTTGAGGCGCGCGATCATGATGGGTGTGAAGTCCTGATACACATATTAGCCTCTGTACACAACCTTCAAATCTTATGCTCTATTCAAGTAGAACACACGCACCCCACCACCGAAAGGCATGCTAGAATTCCAGACAGGGAAGACAAGAAAGAAGAACGGAAAAGAAACTAAGTGAAAAACATACCTCACAAACCAACTCCCAACTCCTATTCCAGCCCGCCCCCTTAAGCAGGTTAATCAGCACAACAAACAGCACGATATTCATAACCGACCCAACAGTCTGATCCAGCATGAACTTCATAGTGAAGTTCCACGTGCCTGATCCCGGGCCCGACTCCACACGACGGACAGGCTTGTCCTTCTCTTCTGCGACTGCTGCCAATTCAGCATCCCTGTGGTGGAGAGGGATGTTGGCGGTTGTCGTCGCCGTCGTGGTCTCCCGGCGGTATCGGGACAGGATCCGCCAGGTGGGAAAGCCGGGGTACCATGCTTCGACGAGCTTTTGCCAGATGTCGTTGATGGGGACGATGATGATGGCGTAGCCGACGAACTGGAGCAGGGCTGGGGTGTTGAGGGCGAATGGTTTCTAGGGTTTTTGTTATCATGTGATCTCCATTTTTCAATCTTTTTGTTGTTTCTTTGGAGTTCTTTTTTTTTTTTTTCTTTGAAAAGGAGGAGAAAGGGCACGAAGTGGGAGAATTTCTTTTTCTTTTTTCTCTTTTGTTTTGGTCGAACGATGTGTAGAGAGCTTTTAGGGGTTCTATAAAAAGATTGTATAGATGGGTCTATATCGGTATTTCGGATGATAGGGATAGGGTGGGGATGGGGTAGTAGGTTGATAGGCTGACAACGGCATTTGAAGTAACAGAAGTGGAATGAAGGGCAAACTCCAGTCAAATATGAAGAAACAAGGAAGAATAATACTACGTACATTCTTCTGGTACTGATCGATAATCTGCGCCAGAATGTTGGAGATAGCATTAAGGATGGTCGCTTGGATAAGCGTGACAGTCAAGGGAGACGGGGGCATTGTGTTTGTTGATTGGCCCTTCCCTTCTTTATATACCTAAGTACTCCGTAAGGTACCTGGGTAAGGTAGGTACTAGGTATGTATGGACTGATCGATGACCTGAATGTCTATCTACCACTGACAGGTAGACAACTCACTTGCCAGTGTGATCTGCGAGACCCCGTTCCAGGGATGCCATAAGCCACGAAGAAATGGGAGCGGAGTAGCTAAGGAGTGAGAATGAACAGGTACATTGCGGTGCACGTGAAAACAGCAGGCATTGAATGTCCCTTGGAAGATAGGAGGGGGAAATGGGTTGCTAGAAAAGTGAGAACTCAATTTTTTCTAGTTTCCTTTGTTTGTGGCTGATGTTGCATATCTGTCTTCTGTTTGGTTAGGCCGCTGGGCAAGCTTGGCTTCCTGGAGTACTCGAGCCAATCGAGTATTAATAGTAACTTGCCCGGGAGGTGGTTCGATCGAGTAGTTTATCTTGGTGATCTTTATGGGGTGATGACTCAGCATAGGGGCTGCCATTTTTGTATAAGTTAGTCGATGGAACACTACTGTGAATGAGGAGGTTATGTGGATCATGTTCACGGCTATTGTACTAAGCGGTCATGCAATCAATTGGTATTCTGTCTTCATCGAATCATTTGGTTTATGTCTAAGTGGTCACCGGATGGGCAGTGTCTGCTCCTTATCGGCAAAGTATAACCTCCGCGGCGTCATGTACTGCTCGAGGACCTCGTCCGTGACGAGCTTGCGCTTCTCCTGAAACTCCGCCACATTCTCCTGCAGCGCCTTGATGGCCATCGCCTTGAGCTCACCGGTCAGGAGCTCGCCGCTCTTGTACTTGGTGTAGATCTCCGCCAGCTTCGCGTCGTCCTCTTCGAAATAGGTCAGGTAGATGTACGCAACATCCACATCGGGGTTTCCGCCCAGGCGGCGGTGATCCTCAACGGTGACCTGGCCACCGCTGAACGCGTACTTGTTGATTTTCGTCTGTTGATGGTTAGATATGCAACCAATCTGTCTGGGTATACAATGACTCACCTTGATCTGCTTAGGAGTGTCATCCATGAAGATAGCCGAGTTAGGCTCCGACGACGACATCTTCCCACCCGGTCCTTGCAGAGCAGTCAAGAACTTGGAGTGGATCAGCGCAGGCTTCGGCGAAGGGAAGCGCATGCGGTGGGAGTTCTCGCGCAAAAGTCGGAAGTACGGGTCCTGGTCGATGCCCATGGGGATCAAACAGGCGATGTCGGCGATCGGCTGGGATCGGTTCTTCTGGGGCTCCTCGGCCCACAGCTCGGGGTAGGAGGTCGCGAACGCAGCGACACACTGCACCGAGGGGAAGAACAACCGGCCGATGTTGGTGCTTTCGTTGAAGCCGAATGCGCCACGGACCTGGTTGAAGGTGACCAGCTTTCCGAACTCCCAGGCGTTCGTCAGGAAGTGCGAGCTGACGTATTTCAAATCGCTGTAGATGAACGTCTTTTTCACGTCGAACCCGAGGGCAATGATGTCCTTGGCGTTGTCCATCGCATACTGCATCGTATCCTCGAAGGTGAGGGTGTCCTTGAACAGGGCCTTCTCGTCGTCCGTAAGCATGAATACCAAGGGAACGTCGAGGACATCTTGCAGCCACTTGGTGAACGACAGCGGGATGGTGTGCCCCAGGTGCAAGCTGCCGGTACTCGGGCCACGGCCGGTGTAGAGGAAGAAGGGCTCGCCCTTCTCCTTCTTCGTGAGGATCTTGTCGAAGTCACGGTGGCTGAAGAAGAGGCCGCGTCGCAGCCAGCGGTGCGGCTTGTGGCCGGTGACTTTCTCGAAGCGATCGAGGAGATCCTGGCTGATCAATTGGGTATTCCATTTCCTATCAATCGAGACAATAGTGTTAGCGACGGGACCATGCGTACAGAAAACGCGCAGATATCCTACTCACTGGGCAAGAGACACATAGTCAATCTGGGAGATGTTGCCGCTCTCGTCGCGGGCACCGGCCACGGACCAGGGGTTGATATCCTGCTCCGCCGTCGAACTCGAGTTTGCTGCCATCTTGGAATAGTTCACCGACCGCTAGCTGCAGAGTTAAACCGATATTGAGGGCCAGCGAGGAACGGACGTATGGAGTCATAAAAACAATGAGGGGCAAAGATAAAGTGGGTCATGTGATCTGTTCCCCTCTAGCCCGTTACGGAATGATAGTGGCGGTGCACGTGATGATAATCTCATATACTCCGGAGTATTTTCTTGCCTTTCTATGGCTTCCGCGTTTCCGTGGTTCTATTGTAATGTAATTTACATAGATAAGGGCTCATTATCATGCTCCCGGAGCATGGACGCAAATTTTCCATTCATATTCTATGGTTGGCAATCACATTAGGCCCATTCTTGGCGCTGGTGAAATGGTCAACGAGAGCCAAATGTCCGTTCTCATCCTCTCCCTCCCGGTCATATAAGTCGAAATTGAACAGGAAAATGAGGCGTGCGATGGTCAGTCGCAGCTCCATCATGGCCATGCTCTTCCCAATGCACCCCCGAGGACCAATGCTGAATGGGCAGAACGCTTTGCGAGCAACCTCAACGTCCTCCTTGGTTGTCGTCCATTCTTGAGATCGGGTCTGGCATGTGGCGCCGTCAATCCAACGCTCGGGGATATACGACTCTGCTTCCCGGTAATATTCGTCTTGTCGGTGGATAGAGTAGGTCGGGGTGCCGCAGTCTGTGCCGGGAGGTAGATAGACGCCGTCGACCATGGCCCCGTCAATCACTTCCCGCGGGATCGCACCCGGCACAGCAGGCGCCAATCGTAGGGCTTCGTCAATGCAGGCCTTTAGATAAACCAATTCGTTGAGCTTGGGGCCACTGATAATTTCCTCGACGTCGTTGAAGCTCTGTCGGATTTCGTCTTTCAGCCGTCCCATGGCCGGGATGTTGCGGAGAAGATAGAACATCGTGGCTGTCATCGTTGTCGAGGTGGTGTCACTGCCGGCGATCATCAGGACGTTGGCTTCGCCCCAGAGCTCGGCCGTTGAGAGACCGCGTCCAGTTTCAGGGTCTTTGGCGTTAAGGAGGTAGTAGAAGAAGTCCTTCTTGGCGCTGTGGCCGGCCTTCGTGCGCTCCTTGGCTCGTTCGTTGGCCTCCACTCGAGAATTCATGATGAAGTTCCAGCGGTCGTTGGTCAGTTTATGGATTACAACCTGATCCAGATGCCATGTATCGAGAGGTGTCCACAGGCCACACTAAATCTCGTCAGCTCGTTCGTCCTTGGTCGGGGATGTGGCTATTCGCCGCGTCAATAACTTACCACATAATGCCGATTAGCAGCCCGATCCACCAACCCAACCATCTGTCGCCGGTCCTTCTTCTGCTGAGAAATAGTATCCCCTTGCAGCATATCAAAGCTCTTCCCAAAGCAGAGCTCGCCCATCACATCATAAGTAAGCCAGCTAAACCAACTCGCCAAATTGCGCACACGTTCTCCCTTCCCGCTGTAATTAGTGCTACCTGGGAAATCCGCCAACTTATCGCACAGCTGTCTAACATGCAGCAGCACAACATCCTCCATAGCCTTCAGCGCGTGGTCCGAAAACGCCTGGCTGAGCACGCGTCTCTTGCGCCCATGCACCGTCTTATCAATCACATTGTGCGTGTTGTACACGCCCTTGATGGCAGTGAAGGCGTTGTAGAAGTTCGCCTTCTTGAGCTTCTTCCCGTGGCCGTAGATGTCATGGAGACCCTGCGCGGTGTTCACGGACACGAAGTTGGGCGCGACGCGGACGTGCGATCCGTACTTCTTGTGCAGGGCGTGCAGCCACAGGTGTCGGTCCCCTTGGAGGCCATGGTACAGCTGGACGAATGGTGTGACGGTCGCCAGCCAGGGACCAGGGACGTGGCGGAGAGGGTGGAAGAAGCGGTTATAGACCGCGTACACAACAGACTAGTGTACTACTTAGTACATCATTTTCCCTGGTTTGTACGACATACTCGATCGCAAAGCAACGAGTATCTCGAAGAGGAAGAAGGAGGAAAAGAAAATGTAGGGAGGAAGTATAGAAGACATACCAGAATTCCCGAAATCCCTAACACACCCACCAACAGCCTCATCAACGACAAGGCCGCCCAAACCTCTTGCACCAACATGATGCCTTTGTATGTGTGTATTCCAGCCCTTGCTGCTGCTGCTGGAGTATAACGTTTACTCCGTAGACAGGCCCAGAATCTCTCGCGCACGGATTCTGGGGAAAACCGAGTCTACCCGTGTCAAGCCGAAACTTCGTTACTATGCTGTCTTTTCAACCCCGCGAATGATATACTAAGAGTTATAAGCGGTACCAATGAGGATAGCTTTCCCCGGGCTTGGTAAATGTTCTTTGTAATAATAGTGAAGACAAGTGTGTCCGCGCTGATGGAGTATGGTTGAGATCCAGCGGGAACGTAGACCTGTATAAATAACCCGTGGGGAGGTTCGGTTAGGAACGGGGGTTCTAGTTTATGGCTCCTCTTGGGGTAGATTTATGATATCTGAGCCTAGGACGGCTGGTTGTCAACTTTGGTTCATGATGACGCTCATCCGTGGAAGGATGGCCTCAGTTGAAGAAAATCGACGGATGCAGCTGGAAGAGCTCATGGATTTGTGCTCCGTGGACGAGCTTCAGCCAGATATTATTTCTTGCTATTTATGCTTTATGCTAAATGAGATATTCAACGTATACGTTATCCAGCATTATTACCTAGGCCATCTACGCATGTGGGGAATGCAACCCCAGCCGCTGGTAGAGGTACCGGATAAAGATGGATCTCGCCAGGATGGTCCGGGCTGAAGACCCGAAACCTTGCTTAGCTTGACGTCAGTACCGGCGATATCCGACCATCATATGTGCAAGGCTCGGAAATCAATGGCGAACTCGACAAGCGTTGGTTTCATGCTAGGACGACGGTTTTACCCGCAATTTGTTCGGGGGACGTCGTGAAGTCTCAAAATCAGGTTGACTCTGCGCGACTTTGTAGATATGGAACGACGAGCATTTCTTAAGGGAGATGTGATCGTCAAGATAAACGAGGACCAATCAACTTTGGATTGGCCATGTGTTTGGCCAGGTTGGGCTGCCGTAACGGCATCGAAAGTGTATGTTAAAGCCAGTCAAGCTAGGAGTATCCATGCACTCCGCCATCCAATATCCATTGTTCATTGTCGTCATTGTCATCTTGAACTCGTCGCCATGTCTGCTTTGGTTCTCTGCGCGCGGAGGTTTCTGGTTGCTTCCCATCGGCTGCCTTCCAGACAGGCCGTGGAAGCCCCCCAGCGGCGAGAAGGGGATTATGGCTGAAGGCTCTCCCGCCATTCCTGCTTCCTGCCTCGATTCCGTCACCGGCTTCTGTTTCCGCCAGCTCGTCCGTCTGATCGTCACCGTGGCTTGATTCCGTAGGCGCTGATTGGTAAACGCGCCTCAGACGACCACCCTTGATATCTAAGCTCATAACCGTCTGCTTCTTCTCCCACTCCGGTCGGGCCTTTTCTTCCATCTCCCGCATGATCCGCTGCTGCTTCTTCAGTGCCAACGCACGCTGCGCAGGACTCATCCATATGGTTGACGCGACATTAGGCGTCTCGAAGTCCGCTGCCTCATCAACAACCCGAGTCCGCTTTGCGTTCTGGGCCTGGAACTGAAGTAGCCTGTCACGATGCGCTTTGGCTGCATCTAGATGGCTAGACGATGAGGGTTCTGCCCCTACTCGCGGCCTACTCTCGCGCTGGACACCCTCGTTGTGCACGCGCATTTTCTCTTGTCCGCGCTCTGCCCGTAGTTCCTTGATCATGCCTTGGATCTCCTCGGCCGACAACAGAGGCGTCCCGCAGAACGAACAAGGATGTAGACCTTCCAGAGAGCAGATTATCTTCCCGCAGTTAAGGCAATTCGGTGCAGGGTCGAAGAGCGGGTGGATTGTAGCGTAACAATTGCATTTGTGGGGTTCCGTGTCGCCTAACGTCGGGTTCGTCGACATCTCCAGGGCGGCGATTGCAGCTGTAAGATCGGAAATATCAGATGTGGTCAACGACGCTTTAGACAACTTCGTAGCGCCGGACCCGCCGGAGCGGCTCGACTTGGCAGCTTTCGATTTCACATTAGGCAGGAGGTCTGAGATCATCGGCCCAGACGCCGAAGGAGGAGTTTTTCCGGGTGCGGGGGATTGAGTGCGCGATGCAGCTGCTGATCCCTCGCGAGAAGAAGGGACCGAAAGTTGCGCGTTTGTTGACGGCGATGTCCCAGCCCCTGCTCCTTTCAACACACCACCAGTGCCTTGTACGTTCTGAGTATGCTGGCTCCGAGAGGACGCGGGCATGTAATCTTCGTCCAGGTCCTCTTTTTTATAGCCCCCTACGACGTTTCCATAGTTGTCTGGACGACGCGGAGGACCGCGACTGTGTAGGGGTGGCTTGGATTTCTTTCCTTTCCTTGACGCTGGACCGGGACCGTTGTTGGTGTTTCTCGCCGTAGCTTGGCTGCTCGTGGGGGTAAAGGTGGTATTCGCTCGGGACTGTCGGGCACTGAAGGCAGATATGAATTCGAATACGGCAGGCGAGTCACCCAAGAGGTTTTTGAGATGCTCTGCGCTTTCTTCGGTGGGTAGGCTGGCGGCGTAGCTTATGATCTGGGTGAGGGACTCCTCGTCGAGGGGGAGGAGCTGGGAGACACGGGGCACTGCCCAGGAGATAAGGCCGGGGTCGCTCATGGGACAAAAAGTAAGTTATATTCGTGTGGAGAATTAGAGACAAAAAGGAGTATTGGGGGTTGAATTTCGTGGTTGGGGAGATCGTCGAGTGAGAACGAGCGATTCATGCGAGATGGTCGGCGGTCCCGCGGATGACGGCGAACAGCATTGTGGCCTTACTTTTCAGGCCCCAAAGTGACTCACCATTGTAGTAATGACAGCCAATATATGAAGTGCCTCCTCCCACTAGAAGAATAGAAGACCATTTGAAATGGGTGAAAGATATCCATGTGGTGAACAGTTAAGATGACTGTGAGCGCAAGACTATTGTACAAAAGTGCATATCTATCCATGAAAGCAAAACAAGACCATCTTGACAACGAAACAGAAGCCAAAACTCAAAATAATGAAACAACGCCGAGCATGTCCCAAACTTCTTGACCTGATGGAGTTAAGCCAAACCCCGTTGACGCCTTTTGATGCCGAATATTTACGTCAGTATCGTTATGAAAAAAGAAGGGAAGACATATGTTCAGTTTGTGTCTTCCATGCAGACAGGCCCGTATATCCACGAGAACAGGAACAATGATCATGCACCTAGAACAAAGTGAGGACTATGCATTGTCCCCGTTTGTTTCGCTTTTTATGTGGCCATCAGCGGCAGCCGCCATGTCCGGCGTTAGCCCGTTTTTTAACTTGCTGCTGGGCGCGGGTGGCGGTTTCTTCCCAGACATCTTCTTCGGAGCGCCCAGTTTCTTCTTCTTGGGTAGCGTAGGCGGTGTATCATCATCAAGCGGACGTTTGGGGGGTCCGGAGTTAGGTGTGATGCCGCTTTCCAATGGGGTCTTGTTCCGGTTCAGTTGACGCCCAGACAAGCCCAAGCACCGATCCAAGTGCTGTGCCACTCTTGTCACGACGAAATATCTGGGGCAGTTTGGGCATTTCACCGTCGGGAATGAAACCTTCTCTGGTGCTGCTTGTTTAAACGAGCTGTCGGGAGTAGTTGGAGGGCTCGACGCTGGTGTATTTGCGGTAGTGGTTTGTTTCTTTTTCTTGGTATTCGGCTTGTCAGTGGCGAAGGGATTGCCGTGGACATCATGGCCAGGCTTGCTGATCATCGGCTGTTTCTGGCAGTACTCCCGGGAGAGATCTGGGGGCGCCCGAGCCCCAGCCCCCGTCACAGGGTACATCAAACGGGGCAATCGACACTCGGGGCAGATGATTTCTTTGGTGGTTTCGAGCGGATTGCCCTTGAGGTAGACTTTTCCGTCTTCACAGATGGCAGCTTCAGTCTCCACACGGACCCCTTTCATTTCCTCCGAATCCGGGTCACTGGCCTTAACCGTGGCTGGCTTGTTTCCCGATTCCTCGCGACGCCGATTTGCTTCCTCTTCAGCTTTCTGTCGGGCAACGACAGCGGCCGAGCGCATCCGTGCAATCTTTTCATCGCGATGAACCTTCGAAACGATATCATGTATGATGTTGTAGAAGGTATCATTGAGGATATCACACGTCTTGCCCGGGTCAGTTTCCCATTGCTGCAAGGCCGACGTCAGTCAACGTACCAGTTTCGCAATTGTCCCGGGCGGAAACGAGTTCCCGTGCTCTGTTCCATTGGATTCACCCATCTTCGAAGCAGGAGACCTATACCACACGTATGTTAGTCCTCGTTCGGAGAACGTAAATCATCCACGTCATAGGAGAGCACAGGCCAAAGAGAGACGGATCAGAGCTCAGCATGAGACATGTAGCCGGCGGACAGCGTGAGATGGCATGTCATATATAGACGCCATTCAGATGTAGCATAGAACCGAATGCGACAAGGATCCCATGATGAGGTCTAACAAGCCCACAGCCACGTCCAAAGCCAAATCGCAAACCCTAACTAAATTCCGTAGGACTAACCTCACTTTCTCTGGTTCAAGATGGATTCCACGTATCTGCCCAGTTCAAGAAGTTCCTGTAGCTTCACCCACGTAGTTCCATGTATTGTCGAGGTATAGTTCGAGAAAACCGGATCGGATAGGCGATCGCCGAGACGATGCGACTAGGAGGCAAATCGAGGCACGATCCCGAAACAGCACCGAGTTCGAGAAGTTGAGACGATAGTCAACACACGGAGCCCAAGCAACCGGCAAAATGGGCGTCCATCGGTCGACAGGAGTGAATGCGGAGGGGGGCTCTATTATCACTGGAGCGAACTGTTGTTGCGGCAGGGAGAAGATCAGCCAACCGCCCCGTTGCAAGCTGGTGAATGGCCACTTACCTAATCCACATGAATAGGAGGACAGACGGTTTCATAACAATGATCTATATATAACAGATAGTGAAGTGATCAAAAGCTTGATGGGAGAGCACCAAGAGTATAAGAATATAAGAGCCCCACAGTGTCTAGACCGGGGAAGCTTGTTTTCTTGGGGGGGGGGGGGAAGAGGAAGAGGAGGAGCAGGGAGGAGAAAAAGAGGGAGACCAGCGAGGCCTTGCGCTGACTGAGGTTGGGCGCCTTGAGAGCCTTGAGAGCGATCTTATCTTATCTCATCTCCGCGTTTCTCCTCTTTTCTCTTCTTCGCGCCTTTGTCTCCATGGTCGACTCTGTCAATTCTTTTTAGGGGAACAAGGAGGCAAGTCAAGTGGGATTTGGCCTTTTTTTTTTGTCTATTGCATATAAGTTTTTTCTGCGACAATCATGGCATATCAGTTCTTCGCAAAGGCGCATCAGTCCAACAAAGGATCGCCCACCTCGTCCTCTCCTCATCTCCCCTCACCATCCTCGTCTAGCAGCAACAAACACTCGCGTCTCCCCAAACCTGTCCCCTCTATGATGGTGCCTCGGTCCTCAAACTCGACATCGACTAGCATTACCGCACAACTGAAAGCCCCGCCTCCAAGCAAAGACCTATCCTTTCAGCCTCCCGCGTTCCCCCATTCCATCGCGCCGGGCTACCAGACACCCCACCCACACGTCACAATCGAGCCCGTCAGCACCGGTCATATCCCTTCATTGACGCGCATTACAGGCGTGCTTTTGCCTACGCGATATCCCAACTCGTTTTACACGGCGATCATCACCGACCCCGTGATCGCATCGGTGTCCCGCGTGGCCGTCTACCATGACCATCCCGCAGAATCTGCCCCCCTAAGCACAAGCACAAATACAAGCACGGACAAAGTCATCGGAGGAATTAGGTGTAGGCTTGAACGACTGGCGCCCACGCTCGCTGATCACCAGGGGTCGCACCAGGAACCCACCAACCTCTACATTCAGACCCTCCATCTACTATCGCCCTACCGCGGGAGCGGCATCGCAGCTTCTCTCCTCCACTCCCTACTCTTTAACTCCCCGTCTAATTCTAAATCATCTTCATCGGACTCGCGACCGCACCAGCTCTCCGACTTGGTAAAGCACTACAACATCCGCAGCGTCACGGCGCACGTGCACGAAACCAACGAAGACGGCTTGAAATGGTACACAGCGCGAGGATTCGAGGTCGAGGACGGCATAGTGGAGAACTACTACCGACGTCTAAAACCGTCCGGCGCCAAGATCGTCAAACTCGTCCTCGACTGGAGCGGGGCGGATACTGCTGATCTGGGTCAGACGAAGCCGGGTGTGGAAAACCCCGAAAACGACGACGACTGGGAGAAGGTCGAGGCCGAGGATGAAGACGACCAGGACGATGATGGAGTGCAGTCGTTGTCGGCTTCCAAGACGTTTGATGACGATGATAGGGCGAGTAGGAAGCGGAAGGCTGATGATGAGCCCCAGAAATGAATCTCCTTTGCTGGATTTTTGAACTTGCTTGTTTTTTCTGGTTTTGTGTTTTTTGTGAATACCCTTGTGAATACCTGCATTGCGGGGACGACTGTCCTTACGCCGCCTGTTTTTATGCCTTCCTGTACATATCTCCTTTTCTAGAAATCTATAGATCTTCATTCTTGATCCCTTCGTTGTAGATCAAGACCTACTCAGTGCTATTATACGTCAAGGGGGTATACAGTGAGCTCTGGTGAGAATCTATGTGTGGATTGTGCATGTCTATAGTCATTCCTGACAGCTACGGGCAATACACAGCTCTCTCGGTTGCCGCTAACGCAAGTAGATACTCAACAGATCTTACTCAATCTCCGTATCATAAGATAAGCAGAGTATCCACCGAAACCGTTTATACAATAACAAAACCGTAGAGTCAGTTAAAGCATTTGCTAGACCATGTTACTCGGCTCAAGAGGCAGGGTTCCACAAGTACCGGCACACGCCGTCAGTGACCTTGCGGGTGGAAGGGTTCTTTCATAACTTTGGAGATAGTGTACGGCTGTCAGAAACCTTGGGAACCAAATTTATCGTATCATATCATTAATGTAATCGCAGTAAACTAGGTGTATGGATATAAAACTGTACAAACATGGCTCAACCACACACTACCTCGCCATCAGTGCAGTATAAGCATTATTGTATTGAGTGGCGTCGTACCATCAGCAGTGAATATGGTGAGACAAAAACATAACAGATCAAAAGCATCAATCAAATGTTATAATTCTCCGCATGGAGGAATATCTCATCCTTCGACGAACTAGTCATAACCAGCTGCTGCTGCCGAGCCACCGTACGAGAAACCTCCTCTCTCATACTCGGCGGCCCACAAACATAAACACAAGTGCGCCGACCAAACGTCCTCGAGTACTCATCAAGAAGCAGCGGAATATCAGGACGGAAGTAGTCAACGCGCCACCCGTCCCTCCTCTGCAGCGGCAAAGCCGTAAACCGCTGAACAGGGCGCGGAGAAAACGGAGACGACGAGAACCCGAAATCAAACGGAGTCTCAACAGCACTCTGCGGGGAGAGGCTCTGCTGGGAGTCTGCGTATTGGTTCTGGTAGGGGTCGAATTTGTGGATGTTATTGGTGGCGACGTACGCTTGCGGGAGGGACGTGATGGCGTCTTCGTTTTCACGGCGCAGTTCCTTCTCCTTCGCGGTGTCGCGGCCGGCTTCTGCGCGGATGAGCGCGGAGCTGCGCTTGTCGATGCCTTGCAGCGCGTCGTAGATTTTTTCCTGGACTATGTCCCGGTACATTTGGTATTGCTCTGGCTGTTCCGAGTTGAGGTGGCCTGTTCCCGTGAAGAAGAAATGGCAGTGGACTGTATTTGGGGGAGCGTAGTCGCGGCAGATTCTTAGCTCTTCTCTGAACCAATCCACTGACTCTGGGTTTCTCAGGGCCCAGACGATCCGGACGGACTTCGTCACGGCTTTTCCATCCCGCATCTTCTTGACCAGGTCCAACAATTGGCTGGCTGTGGCTGTGATGCCGCTGCCGCCGGCGAAGAATATCACGTCGTCGAAGGCTGCCATGTCCCGCCGCATTCCGCCGTAAGGACCTTCTAAGAAAGCTGTCCATGTCTTGTAGGGTCCGTACTCGAGCGCCTTGAGGAAGACATCCCGAGTAAACCCTTTAAAAGGGCGGAACACCAGGGCCATGTCCCGGTATTCTTCGCCGTACTCGGACGGGAAGTCATCGCTGCATAGAGAGGCAATGGTGAAAGGATGGCTCTGTAGGAATGAGATTCGGGGCATCCGGAGGTAGACGTATTGGCCAGGTTTCCATCGCATCTGGGTGGCAACCGTCACCTTCATGGCGTTTTGGGGAAGAAATGTCACAGTGGAATCTTCTCCAATCATAAATGACAGTCTGAGAGGATTGGTCCAGTTGACGAAACATAGTCTGAGAGCGTATGAGAGGACCCAGATCGCAACTGTAGCCCAGAGGTAGCCCCACGACATCAGGAAATTTCTGCTATGCCAGAAGATCATAGCAATAAAAACCATCGCAATTGGAGTATGCAAGGCAACGAACACCTCATACATCTTTGCACGAAATATAGGCAGGGAGTGCAGGCACAACACTGCCAAAGGAGCAAAGGCAGCGAAGCCAGTACCGTAGATATAGATATTCCTTGGGGAAGATTGTTGAAAATATATGAGCATACCATCTTCCCAAACAGGCATCACATAAAACGGGATCATGTGGATCAAACTCAGCAGCAAGCAGAGATAGGCAGTCCAGCGGTGAAGCACATTCAGCCTCTCGTGGCCGATCCCTGTCAACAGGCTGATCAAGTTCACTTTAGTGCTAAGTCCAACAATCCATGGAATCATGGCGACGGCCATCATGCCCGCGCGAATGGCTAGTGGCGGTGATCCAATCTTGACCGACGAGTAATAAAGCGGCTCCGGGATGAAGCAATAGAGAATGGTGAAAGCCAGTGCCGAGAATATGACGGCAGAAGCTCCCAGCGATGGGAGAACAATGCTCAATTTCCATATTCGTAGTACCGGAAGTGGTCGATAGAAGATCCAGCGTACAAACGCGACGATGTTGTTTACCGGCGCAAACGCTGCAATCGACGACTGCTGTGTATCGATAGCAGAGGAGGGCAACGGCCCTTTGGCGGGAAAGAATTGCGCTCTGGAGCTGTCTGTGGCAGCACTGGGAAGTTCGTATTCCTCCTGCAGCCTGAAATCGTATGGCGAATCTTCCTTGTACAACCCAATCCTGATTTTATCTCCCCATGTATGGTAGAGCCTCATAGCTGTCGTGATCGCTAGCAAGACGATGGAGAAGTATACCCAACCCAGGCCATACTTTCCAGCTCGTGACCACGCGTCGCGTTGGCGCTCCGCTATCATTGCCGGGGTGTCCGAAGCGACTGTCGGAATATCGATCCGCTTCATGAGCGAAGCCGCTGAGTTCCATATTGCTGCCATGACTGATGCGTTTTGGATATCTCGTTTTTACGTCGTTCAACAACCCTGAAGTTGGCTGTAGACCTTGGCTTTCACCCGGAGCTCCCACGGGAGCCTATACAGTCTTTGAGATGTATGCCTGCAGATGAGAGTGGCTTTTCTCCCTCCACTCAGGTACTATTTCCTAATAAGTATTTTCCGTACCCATCGGAAGTCGTTCAAGCCGCATAAGAACCTCTGAACTCTTAGCCGAACATTGCACACTGCAAGCCGGTACAAGGACGTGATATACAGTTAGTTAATGACGAGATAGAAGAAGGCGAGATCGACAGGAGTGTCAGTAGAAAAAGGTGAAGAAGAGACATGAAAGATAAAGAGGGGAAGCAGCGCGCACAGAGCTAGCAGTGTTAAGCCTTTTGCAGGCCAACGATGGTTGATCAACGTGCATGGACCCATGCAGTTGTCCATTGCACATCACATAATAGCGATCATTCAATTTGCGCTCTCCAAACATGTTGAATGGGCCCGAGTTCATGGACAGACAGGTTGGATTTTGAGGTAGTATCTTCCTCAGGAATGACAGCCTATCATGGTTCCTTGACGGTGTGCTTACCCTGCAGTTTCCATGCCACTAATGCGTGATCTTGGCCCCTCATCACCAACCACCCCCTATTACGCCCACTGATTGGATACATTTTTGCTAATGGCAAGCGATTAGTGCAAACATTTTACTCGCTGGGAGTGATCATCACCGACAATTAATTGGGCCTGATTGGCATCAACAATGCCGACGAGTGATGCTAATCGTCAAGACGTGGACAAGAAACCGGGGTTTCGATTATGGACTCGGGAGTTGTTATTCCGGGCGTTTAAAAGTTCTTATGAAGGAGATTATCGGGCAGTGATCAGTAGTTAGTCCCAGGTCCTTGTTGATCCTTGAAGGGAAAGGTTGCCATGGTATGTCAGGGGAGCCTTGTCCCAACGTCACCGCAGTTGACATACTGATGTTCTTGGTATAGAAATTATTGAAATGGTCGTGAAAACTGCTTAATTGCCAGTCCATATTGCAGGCAGCCATCTCAATTATTTATTATGAATTGGTTGTCATGAAGATAACTTTTGCCTGGTTAGATATACATCTTACCCCAGAGAAGCTGTTCAACAGCATACAAGCATTTCAAAGTCCTATACGCTAATTTCATGAGATATAGCTCCACACAAATATATACAGATGGATATCGCTTCTATCTCTTGACTTTAAACTGATCAAAGTCACATCAAGGACCTGCCGTCCAATAAAAATTTCTGGTATCATAGTCATCAACCGGGGATTTTCCAAGCTCCTCATACTCCGCACATGACAGACCCTCATGCCACGCCGTTCCCCGATGGATATAACATGTCCGAGTGCCACAAGACCCACATACTACAATGGGGTCCTCCAGACCACCCGCGTGGAACTGCCCATATCCACAATCCCGTCGGATACAGGTGACGAATTCGGCATCTTCCTCCAAAATCTGCCACGTCCGCAAGCGAGAATATTCCTGAAATGTTTTCGTGCTCGCCCACCGTTGTACCTCGTTGTCAGAGAGCTGTGCGTGGCAAAGAGGGCATGCTAAAAGGCCGTCGCTTGTTGAGGAGAGCTGCAGGTCTAGACTCCGACGGAGACAACTGGTGCATACGTATATGTCTGGGATGGAGGTGTGATCACAGCCACTCGCGATGGGTGACCGTGGGTAACATGCTTCAGCGCGGCTCTCAAAGCAGATCGAGCATGTATGATGCGGCTGGTATTTGGTGTTGGTGTCACTCTCGGGGAGACTGGGTGGTGGTGACCGCAGAGGCTCCTTGTGGAGGAGGGAAAGAACAGTACTCGCAGTGGCTGCGTCACTCCAGTGGCTGGGCGTTTGATCGAACCATGTCATGGTTGGTCCGAGAGGGCTAAACGCATCCTCGAGTTTCAAGGAATCGTCTGTGTTTGTTGTGGGAACCGAGCAGTCTGTATCTGCTGAAGAGGTCGATGTGTGCTTTTGATGGTGGTCGTGGTCTTGGTCTTGTGCCCCTCCCGGTCGTGAAGAGGGTAAGGCGACGGTTTCAAGCCGGTAGAGGGCTTGGGCTTCTAGTGGTGAGACAGGCGATGATGTTGGGCTCATGGCAGCTGTGTGACAAGCCTGTCTTCTCTTCCGCCGTCGTTGCACAAAAATGAAGTTCATCCTCGATGCCTGCAAAGAGGTCTGTCTGGCTCAGTTGGGCTCGTTGTACGCCTAGGGTGTACCTCTGCTTACGAGTACCAGATCCAAGGGAGATTCGGTCTTTTTACGCGGGGTTGTTGGGCAAATAAAGCATGCCACACTTGATTCGACAAGACTAATATCTGCTGACCAAAACAGTAAGGCCCTCGCATGGCAGCTAACTAAAGCCAGATCACGCACCAGAGCCAAGATGAGGTCACATTTCCTATGAATACGAGGCTTAACTAGCAAGCGCTTCGCCTACGCTTAGAATACATGGAGCTAGTTGGCAATTATCGGGGAACGAGCAGTTTGGCGCCAAAAATGGGTGGATTCGCCTGGTCGTACCCGTATTGAAGAAACAAATTTGGTGAATATACTCGAGCGGAGGGTCAACGATGTCGTATTCAAATGGTTTCAATGTTGCCCGAAGCGAGACCTAGTATGGACGGACGACCCACTATCAACTGTTAATATGGGATGCCTTTGATCAGGTCAGAAGAATAGCCCGGGCTCAGCACAGTAGATGGATCATGGTACTAGTTATGATGAGCAGACGATCACCCCGAGAGATCAACACATGGCATCATTACAAAAGCACACATTGAACTGTGTTTTCCTAGTTAGGATAAATGTTTTCATCATCAATGGCATCCGCGCCACAGCCCCTATCGCACACATTGGGGCCAATAGGATCGACGGCTTCTCGTATTTATATATAGGTTGACGAAGCGAGAACCTCCCAACCATGGCTAAGTAAGAACCTATATCACATCTCTGCCTTAATAAGTCTAGTATGACCCAGAAGACGGGTTAAGTTCTCCTAGGCTCGCAAAATGGTACTATGCTCGGTCAGTGAAGTGGATGAGACTTCTTCAGACTCTGAAGTCTGATCTCGCTGTCGACATTCAATCGCAAGATCCGATGTTCCATCAGACATTTCCATCAGCATATTCGTTGACATGCAGCCTATTCTATGTATAGCAGCCTTCTGTTGCTCTTAGGACTATCTGTTCATACTCTCGTAATCAAGATTGCACGTAAGGCAAGGAGCTTTGTGGGCCGGTCAGCCAGTTCCCCAGCAATAAGCAAGGTAGATCACATAAGTCTTCGGCGCTTTTAAGGAGCAGCATCTATATCTGGTAATAACCAAGGATTCTGCACCGGAATGAAGCAGCTCATGCTTACAGGGTACAGGAGGTGATGATGGTTGGTCAGGCCGCCAACAGCATGGAAACTCCACCCCTTCACCGCCCTCAATACAGATCCGATTCTGCCGCAGAAAAGTCGCAACTTTCTTTTCGTCCCCGCCCATCAACATCTCGGCTTCAAGAAATCAACCACTTGTGCAATTGACCTACTGAAGATCGTTGAGAGCGCCGCCTCAACAAGACTCTCTAGACTAAAGATGGCGCCCGCAGCAGCAGCATCACCTGCTGCCCAACCGACACCCCCGTCCCTCTCCCTCCCACCCTCTCAATTCGCCCGTCTTCAACCTCACGCCTACCTCCTCGCCCATCTATCCCCTCCTACCACGAGCAACCACCCCTCTATTCGCGCCAATGGCCGCGCTCCTACACAATTTCGCGTCACGTCCGCAAACACCGGCTCTCTCACCCACACAAACGGTAGCGCCGTCGTCAGGGTCGGCGAAACAGCCGCCGTATGCGGCGTGCGGGCCGAACTCCTCCACACAGCAGACATCGCCTCATGGAGCGTGACACAACCGTCCACAGGCTCGGCCAACAAGCGCCGGAAACTAGTCGATCCGACCCTGAAAGCGAGCGAAACGGCCGGCGACGGCGATGACGAAGAATCATCCGACAAGGACGAATCACACATCGAAGACCTCAACCTCCTCGTCCCCAACCTCTCCCTCAGCACCGGATGCGCCCCGGGCTTTATCCCCGGCGCTCCGCCCTCGGCACTAGCACAGTCTCTATCCCAACAGATCCTGTCCCTGCTCCACAGCACGCGGTTAGTCCGCGCGGACGACCTGCGCATCTGGTATCAGCCTCCGAATCTGGGCCCGGAGGACCTGGAGCGCCATAACGAGTCGGAGCAGATGGACGTGGATGCCGAAGCCGAGGGCGAGAAGAACCGCGAGATCAAGGCCTTCTGGGTCCTCTACATCGATGTCATGATTATCTCGCTGGCAGGGAACCCGTTCGACGCGGCCTGGGCGTCCGTCCTGGCTGCTCTCAGGGACACTAAGCTCCCGAAGGCGTGGTGGGACATCGACAACGAGACCGTCGTGTGCTCGGACGCTGTGTCTGACGCGCGTAAGCTGTCCTTGCGGGGGATGCCTGTCGCGAGCTCTTTCTGTGTTTTCGAGGCTGATGCCGCTGCGGGGTGGAGGGCTGTTATTCTTCCCGACGCGGAGGAGGAGAGGAAGATCGCGGAGGATAATAGAAGAGGTGCTCAGAGACGGTGGATTCTGGCTGATCCTGATGGATATGAGGAGGGGCTGAGTCAAGAAAGGGCTTGTATTGTGGTTGACAAGGAACAGGGAGGAAATGGCAAGACCGTCGTTGTGAAGATGGAAAAGAATGGTGGGTGGGCGATTGATGGCAGGGAACTGAGACAGCTGGTGGATGTCTCCTCACAAAGATGGGACCATATACGGCAGATATTGGAGCAATGTTGATACAAAATATTATCTTATTGAACGGTTCGAGAAGGTTATAATTGACGATATCATCTATAATGTTGCGAGATTCTGGTGTCTATTTATCGCCCGAGATTCTATCTCACCTGCTTAGAACAAAACATTTCTATGTGATAGATGAACCAGGCCACATATTGGTCATCATGAGGGAATAAAAAAAAGCCCGAATTGATCCTTTTGGAGAGTGAATGAGCACGTCAACTATTGGCTAGCCTTAGCAGCATTTCTAGGGCTCCTGCGTCTCCTCTTATGAGGAGGCTCGTTATCATTCTCCGTGCCACCAACAGAAGTCCAACTCTCCTCATCTTCCGTGGCCTTGGCGTCTCCGTCTTCCTTGGTTGACTTGTTCTTGCTGGGAACATAGAGAGATATCGAAAACAGGTCCAAGTCCTTGTTCTTTGCCTCAACGGTCTTGGACGATTTGTGCGAGTCCTTCTCTTTGGACTCCTCGGTTTCCGACGTTGCTTCTTGCTCTCCATCGGTCTCCTTCGGCTTCTCTTCCTTCTTGTCGGCAGGGGCGTCAGATTTTTCTGGGGTAGATTTGCTGACACCGTAGAAGACTCGCTGGAACAGTCCCATCTTGGGAGAATCATCATTCTGCTTCTCTTCCTTTTTATCCGCGGAGTCCTCCGACTCTTCCTCCTCCTCCATGTCAGAAAATCCAACCATCTCGTGCAGGTCCCCCTTCACAAGGGCTGTTCCCCATAACGAGAGAAGAACCCCGGGTACCAGGTAGAGAAGCGCCGGCTGGGCATGGTTGAAGCACTGCATAACAAGGAGCGTTGCCACCATGCCGAGGACATATCCAAACACACTGGCCTTGAAGTATGTTTTGGGGAAGGTCCGAGCATCGTGATACGGGGGTTCGAGCTCTGGTAGGGCAGGCTTGATAGTACGGGTCCAGAACCACTCTCCCCAACCGCCCGTCGCGGTTTGGTAGATGGGCTTCACGGGCTCCTGTTCTTTGCCATTTGCTTGCAACATTTGCAATCCCTTCCGCTTGTAGTAGAGGAACAGGTCAAAGCGGAGCGCCAGTCCCACCATCATGCCAGGAATCACAATGTCGCCCAATCCTAGCATCGCTAGGGAGACAAGGTCGGGATCGCCACTCGGGTCTGGCCGAGGGAAGAGGAGTTTGATCGGCACGTCGAGTTTCTTTGCAACTGTTACCATCAATGGTGTGTAGAAGACAAAGTAGATGTCGTAGAAGAACAGTGCGCTCAAGATAAGCGATCCCGTAACGAAACTGGAAGGCGACATGAATTGCAGTGTGCCGTAGCAGAAGCTGAACCCCAAGAAGTTGGTCAGCCACCACGGCTTCGTAACGAATGTGAAGTAGGCGATGGCGGGAAGGGCCATGAGCAAGCTGACAAGATCCAGCCAGCTCACAGAGCATTCGGCACGCACGACACGATGCAAATTGATTCGGAGCTTCGCCCGTTGGTACGCCAGCTTGCGGCACGTCCAGATAGTTGAAAGCGCCCAGCCTGGCAGCGGAATTGATCCCCAAATTCCCGGCAGAGGAGAGCTCCGGGTCTCTGCAGATGTTGCGTCAAGAGACTTGTCTCTCACGATTGTAAAGACAGGCTCAGATTTCTTTTGCTTCCAAACTTTCCCGGAGTGGCTATACTTCCTCGGAAATGCGAAAGACCTCATCACCACGAGTGCATCTTTCAGGAAAGCCATCGCAAAGAAGATACCCATCTGGGAGAAATAGAACCCCAAGACTTTGTTCAACAAATCGGCACCCATGTACTTGATAACCAAGTATAATCCCCCCAATGTAAGCCCAGCCGTCAACGGAAACATCAAGGCATCACTCGGCTCGAGCCCCTCCATTTTACTACCGTCGCCCTGGTCTTCTTCATCTTCCTCTTCGGATTCCGAGTCATCGCCATCTTTCTTCTCCGATTTCTTGGGGGGTTTTGCAGCGGAGGACGGTCTCGACAGTGAGGCGTGGGCACCGGCGTATATAGGAAACAATGCGGAAACGATCAAGTGGCCGTACGTAGGCAAGAGAGGTCTGATGGCTTCGAAATGGTAGATTGCTTGCCCCAAGAGCTCGGCGAAGGGGCTGACCTCAGCCATTCTAGTGTTGTCAAAACCACGTCGCAGGAAGAAGATGAGTGTGGCTTCAGTACACGCGTAGATTCAAATATAGGTAAGACGGGATGTTGTCGTTTCGAATTGATCAGTCCATGTTTGTTGGGGGCTGTGGCTGTTTGTTCTTGGGGGTTCAAACGGCCAGTGTAGTTGTGTCACTGGCAAGGCATGCCCGTGTTGCGCGCCAAGACTAGCTGTCCAGCTCCCCGCTGCCTTATGCGAAAAGCTGCAGTCGTTCTCAACTGGCAGTACCTGTTGCGACTGCTCACAACTCCCAATCCCCACACAATTTAGTGACAATGGCGACAGACGTGGCTTTCGATACGAGCATGGTAATGAGAAATTGACGTTTGATCTTTATTTCAATGGGTCACTAATATCCTCCAGGGCTCTTTCACAGTAGAGCTCTACAATAGCCATGCGCCCAAGGTGAGTTTGGCACTTTCAAGAGCTCCAAAAAGACATTCAATCCATGCTAATGGCTCTGCTTCTCCTAGACATGCAAAAACTTCGCAACCCTCGCGCAGAGGGGCTACTATAACGACATCATCTTCCACCGCATTATTCCCAACTTCATGGTACAAACGGGCGATCCTACCGGCACTGGCAGAGGCGGCAGTTCCATCTACGGCGAGAAATTTGAGGACGAAATAAAGCAGGACCTTAAGCATACGGGGGCTGGGATCTTGAGCATGGCCAACAGTGGACCGAACACCAACGGCAGTCAGTTCTTCGTCACCCTCGCTCCGACGCCGTGGCTGGACGGAAAGCACACAATCTTCGGGCGCGTTAAGAGCGGGATGCGGGTGATCCAGCGCATGGGGCTTGTGAAGACAAATGGCGAAGACCGGCCATTTGATGAGGTCAAGATCATCCGTGCCCGGGTTGTAGAAGAGGGGGAAGAATGAGAAGTGGTCTCTTGACTAGAGCCTAGAGTGCGACAGACAAGCTTAGGAGCTCATCTTCGCAATCTTCTATCGGCTTGCATCACTCTACTTCAATAGGTAGAGTCCATATCCGATGTCTACCGCGGCTTTGTGGAACATTACTGGATGAGTCTCGATTGCCGCCTCGCCTCGTTTGAGACAAACAGCAGTCTGTCTTACACGAAAGCCTCGCACGCCGAGTCCAGATTATCGTCACGATTACAATGTGTACGCCCCTAGGGCGGATGATTATGATTAGGAAACCTACTTGGCGAACAAACCAAGTTAGATTAATGCAATGAGTGTATCACTACAAAACGAACTGCTTCCATCAGGTGTTTATCCAGAGCAGCAGATACAGAGTGATTGGTTTTTTCTACCACTCCCATGATACAACAAGACCAGTGAAGGCTTGCGCAAAAGAAGACGAAACTGTTATAGGGGAAATAGCAGTCTGCCTGTGCAAAGCACAAGGAGTGGTTGTCAAAAAGGAAGAAAGAATTTGGCGGCGGAATTTTCTCTTAAGCGGCTCTCTACCTGAGCTAACTTGATCTGGTATGGCGTCATTGTCGGGAGCTCCATCATTCTACGACCTCCAGCTCATTATTATGGTAGACGGTAGTCAGTAATACGGAGGAATCATGTCGATGTTGACGAGTATACTGTCGAATATTCAGAACTCTCATATTCTAGTGTCATGACTGAAATCAAAAAGAAAGGTAAAGCTCATGTTCAACCATTGTAATTGTCACGGGTGTTGATGTGCCATCACGTGACCCACTGATGCGGGTCCTGTATTTCTTCCCCCCGTTTGTTCTGCTAATTTTTCTTCCTTCTTCACGACTCTATCCTCGTGTCCAAACAGCTGGTTTTCCAATTCCCCCTATGGGGTGGAAGATTTTCTTGCCGAACTGTTCTACAGCTTGCCATCCAACGTGATGATCGTTGGGCTTTGTTGTAAACATAACACTAAACTTGATCCAGCTTTCTTTCCTGCGCAGTTATCTGCAGAATGGAATCGCTAACAGAAACCCCCTGGGATGTATTGATCTCGGGGACTGGACTGCCTCAGTCCCTTCTGGCGCTGTGAGTTTGATCTATCTTTCCCAAACTTTTATCACCTTTCTAACGCCCCTTTCAGTGCGCTCTCTCGGTCAGGTAAAAACGTAATCCACGTCGACCGAAATGCCTTCTATGGAAGCGCGGAGGCAGCGTTCAGCCTACAAGAAGCCCAGGAGTGGGCAAACAGAGTAAACCAAGGTAAGCGAGTGTTCGCAACTGTCGTGTTCGACTCGGCATATACTGACATGTGTTCATAAGCCAGAGCCCGAGAACTTCCCGTTTGAAGATGCCTCTGTATACTCCCCTCAGGATGCTCAGTCATTGCCATCTCGGAGATATACCCTGTCTCTCTCCCCGCAACTCATTTACTGTCGGTCTAACCTGTTGCCCACCTTGATTTCTTCCAAGGTGTACCGACAGCTGGAGTTCCAGGCCGTGGGTAGCTGGTGGATCCATAGATCCCAGGCAGACAACAGTGGGGATGCGAATCTATATCGAGTGCCTGGCAGTCGAGAAGATGTTTTCGCAGATGACAAGATAACTGTCAAGTCTAAGCGGACGCTCATGAGATTCCTCCGTCACATTGGCAAGACCCAACAGGGCAATGAGACACCGCTGGGGACCGAAGAAAATGAAAACATGGCCACGCCGTTCTCGACGTATCTGGAGTCGAAGTTCCAGGTGCCTGCTGAACTTCTCGATCCATTGCTTTCGCTGTCGCTATCTCAGGCCTCTCCTCAGAAGACGTCAGCTGAATATGCCGTCCCACGCATCCAGCGACATCTCGCCTCTATTGGTGTGTTTGGTCCTGGCTTTGGAAGTCTCTTGGCGAAGTGGGGCGGTGGCTCTGAGATCTGTCAAGTAGGCTGCCGTGCTCTCGCTGTGGGAGGTGGCATCTATGTCTTGAACAGTGGCGTCGAGTCAATAGTCCAGCCTACTCAAGGCGAGGATGATGCCCGCTTGAAGGTGCAGTTGTCCAATGGCGAAACCATTAACACTAAACATGTGTTTGGTTCCTATTGGGATGTCCCAACGGATAAGCATCCCAACTGCAATAGAGTGGCCCGGTCTATCTCTATTGTTTCGTCTCCTTTGGAAGGCCTATTCCCTGTTGCTGCGGAAGGAGCTCCCACCCCTGCTGGTGCAGTTGTGGTTTTCCCTGGAAGCTCCCTAGGCCAGGCGGATGATGCACCGCCAGTTTACGTCTTGGTCCATTCCAGCGAAACTGGCGAGTGCCCACCAGGACAGTGTAAGTTTACCTTTTTCTTCTTCTATCTTGTGCAAGAGTCCCCACCTCCCCCATCACCTGCTCATATGATGACTACATTTCAAAAATTACTTATCTACATTGCCTGTACATTCATTGATGAGAAATATAATCTGATCATGAGCTTCAAACTTTTTTGTTTCAAGTTTCTGCCGTTGGTCTGTCGTTCCACAGCTAACATATTCCCAGGTGTCTTATACAGCAGCATTACCACTCCTGGTGACGCAGGACAGTCATTGATCGAGAAAGCTGTAAACAAACTCCTCGAGTCAGCTGCAGATCCCAGTGCTCAAGTCTCATGGTCACTACGTTACACGCAATTAGGACGGCCCGGCGATGATCTTGCCAGCCCTGTTGCCATGACATTAGACCATGTTTCCGACAATGTCGTCTGCTTCCCACCGCCCAGTCTCGATCTTTCTTTTGACGACACCGTAATTGGGACTGTCAAGGATGCATGGAGACTGGCTATGGGTGATGAAGTTGTCGATGACGAGTTCATGAAATTCGAAGACCGTGAAGGAGCTTACGATGAATAGTTGGGCTTGCGGTACTAGCCTATAAATAGTTAGAAATCGATCGTTCCATAGCTATGAATAAATGGTTGATTTATCAACATGTGTCCTTACCTGTAGACATCTGGTTGTCGTCTCGAAGAGCTATACTCCTGGGTATATACCAACAATACCATTAGACCTCATTAGTATACAAGACCCCATCCAACTCCCAAACACGGCCAATCTCAGTCCAGGTCTCAAAAGCCAACAGAGGCATGGCCCATCCATAATCAAACACGACCCGATGTACTCCAAACAGCAAAGTTGACTTGCTGTTCTAGCCCGTTAGCCATCCATAACAACGTTACCTACCTACCACAGCCCACCGAGCGCCGGCACCCGTCAAATCAAAGGATGGATGGTGGTCAAGATTAGAGTATTGATTAATCTCCACTAAGGATAGTACTCCAGGTCGTTAATGGACCTATAGGGCAGGCATTAATTTACCTTCTCAGGTACAGAGCGGCGCCAGTAGTTCGTCTACATCGCGAACAGATATGTGGAATAGATTAAAGAGCAGGGGTGTAATGGAGTTTGATAATTGAAGAATAAGAAGTTAGATTTTAGGACATCTTTTGAAATAAACAATATTTACAGAGTTGGGGTCCAAAGATGCAATAGCCGTTGGGAAGTCGTTATTGCAGCGCATATTAAACACATGTAACTATATCAATCATCGCTGTGATCACAGTAGTATACAAACGCCCAACGCCCACACACCTACATGCACCATACAAAACAAACCATACAACCCATTCAATCAACGCAGACTCAAACAAAACCAAACCTACGCCAAACCCACCATAGTCTACTACTTCTGCAAAGAAACCATATACACCAACCACTTAAGCACCCACACAACAAAACCCACCACTCAGATACAACAAGCAAAGCAACAAATCACAATCCCCGAAAACCATATATCTGCCGATCCCTCAGCCAAGCCAGGATGTGTAACCCGGTCGAACCGGCATCCGCGTCTCATCCGTCGGCTGAACCCCGCATCTCCGTTACCCTCCTTGGATCTGAAACGGCGCGGACAGAATCTGATCCTTGTCGGCATACATGCGTCTTGTCTAGTGGGTATACGGAGGGAATGGTAATGGTGGGTATTTCTTAGGTTGGGTATGCATGGATTCGTGCGCTTTGTAGTGTGATAGGTTGTAGGTTGGTTAGTGAGGAGTTGATTATACCTTGTATGGGACTATAGTAACCATCGGCTGAATATTATCAAGCCAACAGTATTCAAGCATGCATGACGAACTCAGATTGGAAAGTCAAGTATCACAGGATCTACAATCTTTTCACCATAACCGCTAGGTCTCTTTGCACTCCTGGGTACTATCCATCTCTGTAAGATATCCAAGCGGCGATTGTAACCCCGTCCGCCATGCCATTAGCATTCCTGCCAAGCGGAATAAAAGAGAAGATCCTCTACCGTACCCGATGCGGCGAAGGGCTGGGACTCCGAAAACGGCAGGACATCAATTAACTGAGGAGGAAACAGGCTAGTAGCTCCGCAGACCGGGTTTGATTTCCGACTGACCTGGGGGTTCTGATTTGCCGAGGTTGCGGTTTGATAATGGCTTTGTTAGTGATGGGAAATGTCTGAGATGCGTGTGGTAAGGCGTGGCATGCTAGTGGAGTTGTGGTGGGTGAAGAATGCTGGTGGCTGATAAGAAGATGAACTACTTGAGTGAATCTAAGTGATGGACTTCTTCAGGGCTCTTTTTCTAGGTTAATATGGATACTCTGTGTCATGCAGTAGACGGGGTGGTTATCAGGTGGCAAATAGGAACAAGTTTCGAGCCCGGAAAAAGAACTGTATAATTTCAAACCCCAGCAAAAACACCATCTATTGAAAATTACACTCTCCCCTGTAGGATAAAACAAAAACAGGCTAGCCAGGATCACAGTAATCATGTTCATTCCCTTGGTGTATCTCATAGATGACGGAAACCGTCGATCATTAATCTACTCGTGACACTTGCCTTCGGTACATTCCATTCCGCCCAGTCTGAACGAGGGCCGAGTGTCTGGTCTGAGCTCAAGCCCCCAGGACGGCGTATAAGGATCGAACTGATGGTTATTAATTATCGAACGTCATCTATGTGAAGGGGGTCCACTGTATTTATACGCCATTCCATGGATACATCGCAGCTGGTGGTTCGGTGACCCGGGTTCTAGAACATACACTTCGAGAGCCTTTAACATGAATGGACTTCTAGGTCTCGGTGTCTTTTATTGCCCCGACAGGCGATGTTTAGGAGAAACATTGCTTATATCATTAGGAACGGACCCGCTATCTTAATCTGCGGGAGTCGATTTCACGACGGACAGCTGGGATATCGCGGTGTAGTTATACGCGTCACTTGGGGACGAATCATCCCTATATTTCTAGTCTGCCATCTCTGGGCTCTGGATTAATGACAAAGTGGCAAGGTGCCATGTCAGTTAGTAGGTCTGCTGTTGCTGGTGATTCGTCTGCATGCTGCCCCCCACGAAGGAAGGATCCTTAATATATCACCAGCATAAAGGAGGCCGTCGAACTCTAAGGCCTGAAGAAATGGTACATATACGGTATATACTTGGCCTCTATTGTAATTTGCCGAGAAACGGCCATAAGTATGATATTATCAATGGAAAAGAGTACAGCACGTTGTCATCCGAGGCAAGCAACATGTGACATGTCCTACACAAGTCGAGACCAACCCTCTTGCAAAGAATGTGAAAAGCCAGGGTGAACATGCATAATGTCGGAGCCAAATCATTGAATACCACCGAGGATTGACTACAAGATCTTGGGTTAACAGTGCGCCATACCGAAGTGAAGGAAGATCCTGCACGGATCCTTCAGGCGACATGGAGACATTGGTAGGAAAATGAAAATTCCTTGCAACTGTTGACATGGGGAACAAAAGCCACCAATTGTTTTGATCGAACTTGGAATTTCTAAGATGCTAGAGAAAGAAGAAACAGGGAAGAAGAATGGAGGGGACTGCCGTTCTAAACTTGGAAAACTTGAATAGGTGTGGCTCTTGTGTGGATCCTGGATATAAATACACATGTCTTTCTTTGCTCTGCGCATGGAACCAGGGGAGAGGGGAGATATGTAATTACTACGGAATATATTCTGATGGTAGAGCAAGTCTTTCAAACAAACATATAATATAGTCAAGGTCTTCCATAAAGATAGTCATATCAGCATAATGGCACCTGCCAAGGCCAGCGTTCAGCCTTAACTGTCTGAACGGATTAATTAACGAAAGAGCTCTTCCCACTGGTTCATAGTGTTCGGTGCTGTCGATCGTCATCCTGCGAGGGGAAAAAAGGTCGATTCGACGTTTCGAACACTGGCGTAATATTGCGAGTCGTAATGATATTACCTCCATTGTATTATTATTATGAGCAATGGCACACCATCATCGCGTATACCCCCCCCCCCCCGCCTTCTCTCTCCTCCCTCTTCGGTCTTCAAGCCGGGAAAATCAGCCACAACAATCCCTGAAAGACGGCTTGAAGATACACCGGGAAGTGACGGACTACTTCCATAATTCAGTCGGCCGGTCAGCATTTGCTGCCCGCATATAAGTACACGAGTACACGCGTTCCCGCTCACACAGCTCGCATACCTGCAATGTTGATTGGACCGTAGTATCCAGCTGGCGATGGTTCGGCGTTGTTGATCCCGGTCGATTACGATGTTCTTAGGTCAGCTCATCAGCCCATACGGATCGGTCTACGGAGTATACGAATGGAAGATACAGTCCAGCTGGTACTGAGTCTCAGTCGATATTACTATTATTGGTATGTTGTTGTTACTTTTAAAAGACGGAGGCTCTTCTCGGCAAGGGCAATGTATAGTTAGTCCGCGAGTCAGATGGCGCAGCGCAGCCACAAGTCGCCACCCCGTCTATATTCGGCACCAGAATAAAAGCCAAGCTTTTTTGCTGCTGCTTTGGGATGTCGATGCAGAGCACTGTATACAATCTGCGTTGGATGCATTCTGTATAACCTCCACGGTCGGGGTGAAGATGGATATCAACCGGGACTCTAGTCTATACATTTGCTATGTTCCACTTATGTAGGGGTTCTATAGATACTTGGTCGCACGGGGGGGCATGTCTAGCTCTCAGGTTGTCATTACCTGAGACATGTCGTCACTTATTATGACCATTGTTGTCTCGATTGCGAATTTTGTATTTCCATTGGCTGGCTTTACACCCCAAGAGTCAGGACCAGACAGCCAACGGACTCCGAGGGCGTCCCGGGGAGAATTGAAGCCGATCGGTGTTTATTACGAGAAAGCGAAACAAGATCGAAGGGTAAGAATAGGAGAAAAAAAGATTACGACTGGTGGTGGGAGGACACGCGGCCGGTGGGGCTGGCCGCCGGGTTGGCTCTAACGACTTTCCCCCCCTGGGCCTGAGGGCCCTGGGCGCGGCGGGAATACCTCCGCTGAGGGTGTAATTTTTGAAAGTCGAGATAGAGACACTGTGTCATTTTCTTTTCTTGGGGTTATCTATTCGACACTAGCCTTTATATCTTGGGAAACCCACTAATTGTGTAGCTACAACTACTCCGTACATTGTCCCAACTAACTTGAAGCGACATCTGACCATATCCCTTCAAATAATCACAGATAAACAAAGGCTGCAAACATCCAGGGTTAGCGTTGGAACATTCCAAGAAGGCCTGCGGTGGACGACAGCGGATAGAAAGAACCAGTTGATAACTGACTAGCATGCCCGGGAGCGGCCATCACCCGAGTTACCAAACAAATACTCAAAACTAGTTTTACAAACTGGGAGATGGTAATTTATCCCAGGACCCTCCCAAATCTACCAATATGGGACCCGATTCTTTGTAACACTCAAACCTGCTACTCGATAGGTTTGACATTGATAGACTCGACTGGTCATGCAAGGATTTTTTTCTTTTTTCCATATGTGTTTGAGTGACTCTGGATGCCGCACGCGTTGGATTCAAGAGTTGATCTTGTTTTCCAGCAGTCTTCTTAGAGACTTCTTGTTGTGCAGACCGGTGTAGAGACGATACATGGAGGGAGGCATGCTGCATTTTGATGGAGTCAGATCTATCCAGAGACTCCATATAGATTGTACCTTATAGACAATTGACCAATGGATCTAGAGTGATTGGAGATAATCACGAATATGTCCTGTATAGTCGAGTGATCTTGATCTTGGATGCTAATAAGTTGATAAACCCCTAGAATCAACTGTAGAATTCACAGTAAATAAACCAGGGTCTGTAATGCAAGTTGAAAATTACACACTACCACCGCAGATGGGGGAGATCCAGGGTACTCTTCCTCCCTCCTGTCAATGATCTGCACCCAAAACGTACTACGACAACTCAAAAGGAAAAGGTATGTTCTCTTACCGTAAGTATTACGAACTGCCTAGAAGGTGTTGAGGTGGCCAAAAGCGTAACCAGTGAACAGAGGGATAATAACCATGGTAAAAAGATAGATAGATAGATGGATAGATAGAGAAATAATAAATAAATCATGAAGTGAGAAGTGAGGGTAAAATAAAAGAAAAAAGAGAAAGAAAAAAAAGGGAAAGAAAAGAAAAGAAAAGAGAGAGGGCAGTCGTAGAATCATTATGAGAGTAATGTAATAATCAATGATATGCATTTCCATCATAAAGTTGTCACTTCCCACTCATCTTTTCTGCCTGTTCTTCTTCTTCCTCTTTCTCAGTCCTCTCTCTCTCTCTCTCTCTTAACTTCTTCTCTTCTCTTCCTCATCTACTTCTTCTCTGGATACATCAACAGGATCACTTGTCTTGATTGAAGGAATCCCCACCATCAACCGCACCCAGCTAAGAATTAAGATTTGCAGATTAATTTCACCCAGTGAGAGAGGAGCTCTGGCCCCAGAATTCAACCCGTGGTCCCTTATTCGGCATTATTCCCACTTGGATCGTACCTGCTGCGTTACTGGGTACGGAATCCCTATTAGAGACTAATTCCCTCCTGCCCCGTACCTGCTCGCTTTCCGTCTCATCTCTCTTCGCTCCCCTTCATCCTCCTTTCTTCTTTCTCTCCCCCCCCCCCTCTCTCTTCATCGACGTCGACTTCCGCTTCATTCCCCTTCCTTCCCCTTCTACTTGATTTCCTTCTTTAGCCCTGGACACATAGTCCAGCTGTGCTGTTCTTCCTCTTTCCGCCCCCTCCCCCCTTCTTATCCGTCTTTCTCCCGGCGTTTCAATTTTCTTGCGTGCTTGTCCTCCGCCGTCCCTGCGCCTTGATCCCCAAATCCATCCAACCCCCCTTTTTGCGACCGTCTCACCGGCTTCGACGCTACCAGCCTCTTGTTGACAGTCATCCCTGGCAGTAAAATTCTGCCTGTCCTGCAGGGGTCTCTTCATTGGCCAATTCCACTCTTTTTAAACCGATCACGCCGCTACACCTCGATCTGTATCGTGCAGTGACGCGAACGCGCTAAGGGGATCGGGTGAACGACCACCGTATTCTGTACAACATATAATCATCGTCACCCTTTCGCGGTTTCAGAGACTTTCGTGTTGAAGGGCCCTCGATTTCATACAACGAAAATGCCGATCCTCCGACCGAAAACCATCCTCCCGCTGGTGGCCCTCTTCTCCATTGGGTTTTTCTTCTATTGCGTCGAGCGGTTTGACCGCAACGCCTTCCTCCAGTACAAGCAACCTCCCCCTGCCGAAGGGATACGATCGAACCAGCCTCAAATCCAGCTGCAGCCGTCGGCGCCTGCATCCTCCAAGGCTTGCGATGTCCACCCGTCCGAATTCGCCTTGCCTCCGTTGCCTTTCTCTGAGTGGCTCCCTCGCAAGAACTACACCCGCACCTACATTCGCCCTCGCCATGTGAACCCCAAGACTGAGTTTAACACGCTGGAAGATATCGAGGCCCCGGTCCTCCCGCCCATGACCGTGATGGAGCGCGGCATGGTCGTTTCGCGTGAGAACGCCGGATCGGATCTGCCCTGCCCGCCCGTCGTCGATGTCGACGTGGCCGCCGATCATGATGTGGAAGAGACCGACAAACTCCTGTTTGGCTTGGCCACGACGGCTGACCGCCTGGACCGCCTCCTCCCGTCGCTCCTCTACTCGTACGGGAACACCAAGGCGACCATTCTCGTCCTTCTGCCCGAATCCGATGACGATATCCCCAAGCAGCAGACCTACTTCCGCAATCGTGGTCTGGATATCATTCTGATTCAGTCTCCCCTCGACTTCACCGCTCGTTATTTCGGACTGGTGGAGGCATTTGCCAACCACATCCGCACCCAGCGTCCCCAGACGACCTGGGTGGGCTTCATTGATGACGACACCTTCTTCCTCTCTCTGCCCACGATCGCGGAGGAGCTGAAGCTCTTCGATGCGACCAAGAAGCATTACATCGGAGCCCTCTCGGAGGCCAGCTGGCAGGTTGACACGTTCGGCCACATCGCTTTCGGCGGTGCCGGTGTCTTCGTCTCGAAACCTCTGCTGGACGTTCTGGAGCAGTATTACGACGAATGCCAGTCGTGGGGCGACCAGCCTGGTGACCAGAAGCTCGGCCAGTGTATCCAGCGGTACGGTGAAACTCAGCTGACCCTCTGGCCCTCGCTGTACCAGATGGATATGAAGGGTGACGTCGACGGAATCTACGAGTCCGGCAAGAAGATCGAGTCGGTTCACCACTGGAACAGCTGGTACAGCAAGGATGTCGTGAAGATGACCACTGTCGCGGCTGCTGCCGGTCGCCGGTCCGTTCTCCGTCGCTGGGTTTTCGACCAGGAGGAACACGTGAACAGTGCCGGCCAGACGGTCCGCTCGTTCTGGATCATGACCAACGGACAATCACTGATCAAATACACCTATGACGAGGGCATTCCCGACGATATCATCAACTTCGACGACGTCGAGAAGACGTGGGAAGAGGATCCCCGGGGATACGAGAACCGCCTGGGAGGTATGCGTCCCGTGGACCAAGAAGGGGTCACCAAAGACCGGTGGCACCTGCGGGAGGCCTACGTCGTGGGCGATAACGTGCACCAGTGGTATGTGCGGGAAGAAGATGAGGGCCACAGTGTCATTGAGGTCGTGTGGCTTGGCCCTCAAGGTGGTGGCGGGGCCGGTGTGAAGGACTATGTTAGGAATTGAAAGCCCACCTCTCCGGATCAAATGAGAAACCGCTTGACCGATACTGAGGCTGGTCCTTGGATCTGAAGAAATTCCATTCTTGCACATTATTTTGATCGCACCTTGCTGGTTCCCTTCACTTATTTGTTTACCCTCCCACCTCTAATTGACCGCCCAAACCACGCCAAGAGAATGGTCAATTTGATGAGGAACCAACACGCCACACCACGAGCGCCTGTCCCCATTGCTACGCTCTTGTTTGACCAACGACACCTTTCAGACACTTCTTTTTTTTTTCTTTTCGTTTACATTTTCTTGAATGCTCCTACGGCGTTGTAATGGCGGAGTCAACAATGGTGCGTCAAAGATCGGAACTGGTGGTTTCCAGCGAAGAGCAGATCTCGTTTGAATCCCACGAATGAGCCCTGGGTATACCATCTCATATTATAGCCTATAGCTCCTCCGGGGCTTGGGCGAGTCGACAACAGTTTTTATTTTCTCACACTTTTTTTCTCTTTTTCTTTTGAATTTTTTGGGAGGGCTCCATCACGAAGCTTCTTACGCATCTTGTAAAAATAGAGTTCGCGTGGTCCAATTATGTGGTCCATTGTTCTGGAGATTAGCGCTTATTTTATGGAAGAAGAATATTACGAGTTAAGTCCTAGATTAGGGTCCTATGTGGCTATCTGATACACTCCATGGTTGACATGTAGTTTAGTGTTCTCGTTATCTCGACTTACATCGCCTTATCAAGTGGGCAATCCTCTGCAGCGATGGCACGATCAACCTGAGGAATGGTATAATCATCAACTAATCATGCTTAAATTATATCTCTTATGCTCGCGTTAAGCATAATAGATAAACGGACACAGCAGTGGGGCCCAGATAGAAATACTACCTAACTAAATACTTATCTACATATCCATGGACGGAACACGGAAGTGATGATCTCATCCCGGCTGTCTCCAAGTCAACCCCGATTGATTGGGTTCCTGGCTATTGTATTAGATTGATATGAAATAGGTTTCTTTGGAGTGGGTCATTGGGGAGATGTTAAGTGTGTGTGATTGTTGGTGGGTGTGGATGGGGTTTGTATGTGTAGTAGACTACTAGGTAGGCAAGGTGGGTATGTATGTAGGTTATTGTCGTGGCTGCGTTGTGGTGGGTTGGTTTGGTTGTTGATGAGGTGGATGTATATGTATATGTGTATGTATATGTGGTGGTATAGAAACTGTCGATGGTTTTGGGTTCCTTGCGGGTATATATATACATATACATATGCATGTGTTGGGAGGAATGGTAAAGTGGTCAACATGTTGACTGATGATATTGATATTGATATTGATATTGACATATCTTATGACTGCAGAAAAGTCGCGAATAGCTGCAATATTGCGAAAATACTATCTATTCGAGGAGACTCTACAAGTCAGCTGGTGTTGGCTGATTGTATGCCTCACCCTCCTACATCTTGCTTCAGAACACAGATAGAGAGACAGATAGATAGACGTATATATTTAAAGATCAATCCTCCCGACCAATCTATGAAAATCCTACCATCAGGTCAGCATGATAATGTGCCTACCTATCTCAAAGCAAAGGGAATAAGACGCCTATCACTGATTTACGCCCACACCCAGAACCCTACTCTAGCGACACACTGCATATACATAACCCCAGGGCGCCCCCCCCCCCCCCCTCTACCAATGCAGTCAGACCCGCTGTACGATCGGAGCCCCTACTCTCCCCTCCCCTCCCTCGCCCCGGTCTCCGGGTCAATCAACTCGTGCAGGTTTCGTTGTGTTTGTCAGCGGGTTGGACGGCGAGGATACCGTCCGGTGGAGGGGGGTGTCGGATAGAACATATGTAAGGAAGGGCATGGATTGCTGTATGGCTGGTACTGGATTAGAGCTGGTTGGGTAAGTGAAGATGAGATGAGATGGTTCAGAGAGTTCATTGACATCCTGTGGGAATGTTATATCAGATCTTGGTTGTTGGGTCTAGATGTCTCTGGGTCAGGGCTGGTTCGAGTGATAGTGTTTGTGACATATATATTTATCTTTGGTTTGTGGTATCCCTCCTTCGAAGGATTGACTCTTTGTCTTATGGATGGGAAAGTGAAGTAAAACTGATTGATAGGGAGGGTGTTTAATTCTATAAGGAAGTTGCTTTATATATATTTACATATACACGAGGATCAATGCAGGGACAAGAAGCTTGATGAAATGTAGACACTCTGAATCAGCGCATTGACATCAGAGTCTTGGTGGGATAAATACAATAACCACCTGCATTCAAAACCATAATCCTCTGTTCTGCTGCAGTCACTGTCCTATCATCAAGTTGACAATGAAGCCTACCTATTCAATACTCGAGCCTGAGCATCACCAGTGACAGCTACTCTAAAAAATCCAGCAGATGTACCTACCCCGCTCGATTGACAGGGCTTCTTTCTTCCTTCGGCGTTGACCGGGGGTTGTGAAGGAAAACCGCCATGCTCGTACAGGGATGCGAGGCAGGCCTTTCGGCACCGGACCTGGAGGTGGCGCGCGGGGCATAAGGGTGGAGAGCGGACTTTTGCCAGACAAAGGAGCGTATCAATAGATGGCTAGACGGTCGTCCGTACATAATTAAGTCTGGCCAGCTTCGACCGGGGTATTCTCGGGTTGGGTGATGCGAGATCCTAGCTAATGAATGGATAGTTGTGCTGTTTTGTTGACGCTGTGGTGATATATATAGAGTTCAACACTATTAGTCCAAGAGGAGGGAGATACATTGTTCTGGTCCGTGTCTATTTGACTAGATTGTACGGAGTACTTTGGCAAATCTAGCCATAAGAAATCTTTCTTGGTAGTTCGAGTTCGAGTGGCGCAATCAAAACCAAGGCCTGGCCATGCACGACGATAGGGCTTGCGGCTGCGGTGCTGGGCGGATTGGATCTAGACATGGACCGCGGGAGACTAGAACGCACCGTTGGTTTCATCGCGAGACACGAGCGTGTACAGTACTATTGCGGTCGAGTGATTGTCTTTTGTATTGGTGGGCTTGTTCGGCAAGTGTATGGTTTTCTGGGGTTTGGAGAAGAGACCGAGCTACTCCGTATATAGGTTGTATAAGATAGGGTTGATGGAATATGTGGGACTGGATATGGAGATGTTTTTCTAACTTCAATTTATGTATTAAGTACTTGCATTGACTGTTTTCAGCTATAGAGACTATGATATTGGGTTGGAAATAAATATCTAATAAATGTCTACTCTTTCAACCCCAGCCGACAGCCCACACCATGACCAGAGTCCAGTCCACCAGGATTCATTCCTGAGGCGTCGGCTAGACAGATAGGGAGGAGGAGTACGGCAGACGGGGAGGAGAAAGAGACAAGCCTGCCCGGGTTAATTTACAGCTAGAGCGGCCACTAGTTATTGAGCAATCCTCAATAGTGCTGTCGAAAGGGGGGGATAGCGTGACTTTCCGCAGTAGTCCAGTAGGACGAGAACCCTGAGGTATCCATCCCACACTCCGCAAAAAGGGTAATAGCTGGAACAAAGAACGGAATTGTAATTTATTGATTACTTCCATTTTCCCTCCTTCTTTTACTTTTACCCAACCACTAACTGATCTGGTTCCATGATTCTATCAATGTATGACGAACTATGTCTGGACAGTGGCAAACAGTAGACAGTGGCTTATCTAAGACAGATCGATGTAACTGGTGGTACCAGGGTCTATTAAAACACTTGGCTGTTTGCAGTTATTCAGTCCATTGGGGGCCGTATTATATACAGGTATGGTACGACGAGTGGGGAATGTGAGTTGGCTTGAATCGAATCCTCAATGCCGGCTGCAGCCTGATCCAATGGTGTTGAGTGCCAAGAGGGGACTATTCCCCACCGGGTGAGCCTGGACGGTCCCAGGTAACTGTATGGTAAGTTTGACTGTTTCTTTTGATTTGGGGGGGAGAGCAACTAAAGTAAATGAAATCAATATAAGAAGAAATGTAAGTGAATATATGATAAATGATAGTCTAAATAGTATATCTGAATAAAGTATAGCCTCTAAGCTGATACCAGGTGTTGTAAAGAATGTGTGTAATACCCCGGTGGTACAGACGAGACGGTATGACAGAATAACACACGTGACTGACCGCCTGCCTGTCCCAACCCGCACTTTGCCTTCTTCGACTTTCTTCCTCCCCGTTTCTCTTTCCCTCTCGTCCTGAACCCAAACCCTGCGAAGCAAACGCGTTACTCGATTTGGTCATTCTCCCTTCCCCTCAAAAGCATCATTCCTCTTTGGGCATTTGTTGTTCACTCTCACCCAGTCTCTCCCCCAAATCCCTTGTGCTTGGTGACTTGGGTTTTGTCATCCTTTTGTGTCTGTTCTTTGCTGTCGCCGAGTCCTCATCTCTCCCCCCTCCCTGTCCTGCCCCCGTTTCATCATGGCCGATATCACTGCCGCCCTTGATGAGGAGAAGCCCTCTCCCACCCAGGAGGACTTGCAGCAGGCCACCGGCAACGGCGCTCCTGACAACCGCGCCCCCAAACGGAATCGCATGAGCGCCGATGACGATGACGACGATGACGACAAGCCCGGTCGCGAGCGCAGAAAGATCGAGATCAAGTTCATCCAGGATAAGTCGCGTCGCCACATCACCTTCTCCAAGCGGAAGGCGGGTATCATGAAGAAGGTGCGTTACCTTTTTGCGCGTTTTCGCCCTTCCCATCCGAGTGTTTGCCCCAAGGATTATGGTCTGGACCGATCTTTGGGGTTTCCGACCGTTTGGGTTGACTGGAACCCTTCCCCCTACCCCCCCCCGTCTGGGATCCCCACGCTCGATGCGATACTGACGATTCAATGCGATCGCGTATTAGGCCTACGAGCTGTCTGTGCTCACTGGTACCCAAGTCCTCTTGCTGGTCGTGTCTGAGACTGGCCTCGTATATACCTTCACCACGCCCAAGTTGCAACCATTGGTGACCAAGGCTGAGGGCAAGAACTTGATTCAGGTGAGTGACGGGCCCTCCCCGCGGGCGCGCGCGTCGCCTTCCGAACGTATTGACTGACCCCATTGCCCACAGGCTTGCCTCAATGCCCCCGATCCCACCACCAACGAGAATGGGGTTGATGCTCCCGACGTCCCCGCCGAAGCCCCCGAGGATGTGAGCCATAACAATGTCAATGCTCAGCAGCCCAATATGCCCCGGCCTCCCGGCATGCACCCGGGCTATATGACCAACGAGCAGCAGCAGCAGATGGCCTACTACCAGAACCTGCAACAGCAACAGCAGGCCGGCGGGCAGTACCCCGGCATGCCCGTAGGCAACCGGATGCCCCCTCAGCACCAACCCACTGCGTAGGCAGGAGTGACCTTGTGACTGCACATACATACCTCTTTTCTTGAAGCGGAAGGGTCCAGACGGTTGGTTTCGCATCCTTGTCAACCTCAACATGTGCAACTCCACTTCTCCCGGCCTTCGATTGATACCCTTTGAATATATTGCCAATCCCTTGCATTTGTAAATGCAGCCATTGTCTTGCGTCGACAGAACGTCTCAACCGAAGGCACCAGACCGGGTTGCTTTGTCACCTGCCCATTCGGCAGGATTCAAGAGTCGCTAATATTGGCGTTAGCACATGTCTGTTTTCATTTTGTCCCATTTGGTTGGAGACTTGAAGGAGAAAAAAAGAGAAAAGAAAAAAGAAAGACAAAAAAAGGTGAGGAAAGAAAAGAAAAGAAAAGAAACAAAAAAAGAAAGAGAAGGCGGTAACCTGTGAATCATCAAGGATGCGGACTGTCTGATCTGGACCCTGACGCTATTAATCATTTTTTGTTACCATCTCCTAATCATCACCTAGACGACGGTGGAAGTGGCGGTGTTTCTGGTGCTTTTTATCTCTATTTGTCCCATCTCATGTTTTATTTTTGTTGGCGAAGTGGCTACCCTGCCTTGCAATTCCATAATTTGCTTATTCCTTGACATTTTCATACTCGATGTTTCCTTTTACTGTGTTTGATTTATTCCAGTCTACCTTGTCTGTCTTTACTCCTCGTTTCCCGTATCCGTCGACGGTCGACTGTCTCCCGCTGGCCCACTGGTCGGGCCTAGCAGCGCAGGAAGCAGTAGGGAAATGGTATACGGGAAGCTGGAGCGGGGACGCAGGGTGATCTGATTGAGTACTTGATATGATATTGGATGGATTCCTTTTATCTTCACCTTTACTTCTACTTTTACCTTTACCGTTGCCGTTTACCAGGTAGGAAGTATGCTATTTGCTATGTATGTATGGTATGGAGAAAATTGGAGCTCTGTCTTTGATTATTCGGTTTCTTCCATCCGCATGTAGTTAGTTAAATGTTTAATAGCCTTTACCTTATAGCTAAATATATCTTGTTTCGTGCCGTTCTAAATACGCTCGGAGTAAGATAGTTAGTTTATGAAGGAAGTCTACCATTGAGCTTTAGAGGGTACATATATCCAATGTTGGGTAGGATGTGTGCTATGAATAATAGGTAGGTAGGTGGTGGGTAAATGGCGTGACGTCATGCTGGACTTTATCTCATCCCATCTCATCCCATTTTATCTTAAGTTGTGAGATGTTATGAGCTGGGTAGGGTTCCTAAGCACCAAGTTCTAAAGAGTGTTTGGAGCAGATACAGCTAGAGAGATATTGCACTCAGCAAAAAGCCACCTCTATTCAATTCAAATGTATATATTGATTTCGACTGGAGGGATAATAAAAAAAGAGAAAAGCTAGTGTGGGTTGGATTGCAGCGCGTCCGTTTCAGGATCGTGTGGTTGCCCACTGCGACTGCGTGCGCCTGGGCCGCCTGTCAGTCGGGATAGATACCGCAGACTGGATCTCCAGGCCCCGCGCACGATACTCCTCGGGCCGGCGAGGGGTGCGGATGCAGAGCTTTGTGGTTGGTTTGGACGACTGCCGGGGGAGTGGAGGTCGTCGTTGTCGTTGTCGTTGTCGTTGTCGTCGTCGTCGTCGCGGCTGGTGTCTTGCGTGCTGCCGTATCCCGGCACTGTCCAGTTTCCTGGGAAGGATTGCCGCTTTTGACTCTGGTGGGGTCCGGACCCCGGGGAGGAGGTGCGGCGCGCGGGTTTGGTGGATCCGTATGCGAAGGAAGACATGCGCGGTGGGTTCCATGTGAGCTGGTTGAGGGAGAAATGGCGGGGTCGGCGGGAGGAGGTGTCTCGTGCGGTTTGCGCGCCGCTGGGCTTGGTTCCCTGGCGGAGGTGGGATGATCCTGTGAAGGCGCGGGTTTGGGCACGGGGCCGTGGGTTGGTGTGGCTGTAGTCGCAGTCGGAGTCGTCGAGCTCGGCCCAGATTGAGGCCGGGTCGACGTCTGCGGAGTCGCGGTGGGTTAATGGGGAGAAATGGAGGGGGAGGCTGGGGGTCCGCTGGTGGAGGGGCCCGCGTGGGGGTGGACGGTGTGCGGCACGTAGGAGCGGCTCGCGCTCGCCGGCGTGGCTTTGTTCGTCGCCGAATTCTAAATCAAGCGGTGGCTCTGTGTGTTCTTCGAGGATGGCCATGCCTGGGCCTAATCCGGTTTGGGAGGCCCCGGCGACGGTGACAGCGGTGTGGCTCTCGATATCTTCTAATCGCCAGGAAAGGCAGAGCACTCCGCCGAGTAAAAAGACCGTGCCAAGGGCGATGAGTCCCGCGTGGAATCTCGTCAGCAGGGACATTTGACGGAAATAGATCAGTCCGTCCAAAATGGCGATAATGTTATATATGCAAAAGACAAACGGATAGAGAACGCTGGTGCTACAGAGCTTCAGGCCGCGGTGGAGGTAGAATAACTGTGATAGCGCTAAAGTGATCATCGCGATCAGAATGGCCCATGACTGCCACCGGTTGAACTGGTTGACGCGGTCCACGATTGTCCGGACAAGCAACTCCACCGCTGACTTCGCCAGGAGTAGCGAGTGGGCCGAGAGGATCCCGCTGATTGACCCATAGCTGAGCCCGCGGATAAGTCGCACGCGGGGCTGGGACAATTGCAGGTACGGTACATATGAACTGCGGAGGCTCGGATGCTTGGACCGGAAGTACGGGGACGTGAGGTATTTCAGAAGTTTGGACCCGGCGAAGATGACCAGCACAATCACCATAGTCCCCACCATCCATAGGATAAACGGCCGGCGTTGGAGCAGATCTAGCAGTTGATCGAGGGAATGCGCCGGCTCTCCAATGGCCCCAAAAGCCGCGATCAAGACCGCGCCAATGCACACGAGGACGGTGCCGATCAGCGAGTACCTCGTGAACGACTCGCCCAGGATCAGAGTGGCGAAGATGGTATTAAAGACGAGTCCCGACTGTAATGCATTGATTCAGGTCAACTCCAGGTATTCGTCACCGCGGAAGAGGGGCACTGACAGCTTGGAGGGTGGAAAGCACGGGGAGTGGAAGGGTCGTGATCTGGATGGTACTGCCTACGATGTTCGAACTAACGAACATCCCCATGCCCACCTGGAACGGTCAGCTTGCGCGACACCATCTGGGACTCGAGGCGTTGTGTTCCACCGTACCTGCCATCTTCGACGCTTGTAAGGCGGTCTGCGAATGTCGTAAGGGTTTTTTTCGTCTTCGAGGATATGCGACTTGCGCTGGAGAGTCAACCCGATGGCCTGGAGACTGGTCGAGATCAACCCGACAAGCACCCCAACCTGTAGACATTGCCGTTAGCCCAATCACCAGTAGATATTTCGAGGGAATTCGGCGGGAGAGAACCTACCGCGACACTCCCCTCGGGCGACAAACCACCGAGATTCCCCATGACAGGTATTCTCGAGCAATGGCTAGTGGGAGGAGTAGCGAATCGTGGTACATTAACACAGACGAGGTCGGATGGACAGTACGGAGTCCATGATTGACACGGAGAAGAGAGAATTGGTAGACGTGAGGGAAGAGGGGAAGAGAAGCCGAGAGACTCCACCCAGGAAGTCAAATTAACCCAAGGACGTGGAGGCCACAATGGAGACGGCGAAGTTGAAGTAGAATAGAGACGAAAGAAACCAGGTACAGTGGACGCAGTCAAGTAGCAAGTAAGGTGTTTGGGAACAGCCGCCAAGGACGACAGACCGAGAGTGACGAGTGACCCCGATCGTCAGCCGATCCGCTTCCCGCTGGTCACCTCACCCGTCACCACCGCTGTTATTCCACTCAACCTCCTCTCTCCCTACCCCATTCTTATAAAAATCGTCCCCCGTGAGTCTCCGTCCGGTGTATTACCTTCATTCCTTTCGTGCCACGGGGTGTTCCCTGTGGTTCCCTCTCCTCCTTTCTTCCAGAGTCGAATTTCCCAGTAACTGACCGGGGTTGTTCTCCCATTCCTTAGGACACTCCGCCGCATCGGGAACTCGTCTACCCCACGTCACTCACCCGATATCTACACTTGGACACCAGTTCCGGTCTTACATCAAATAATCTAATCAAAATGTCGCAAAGCCATGCGCTCTCCGACGACCAGGTACGCCACGGACTCATCAATCAGGGATGACCGACAGGTCGATGTAGCTCACACACCCAATCTCCCAACAGGTCGCGGGCGAGCTCCGCAAAATGACCGCCTTCATCCGGCAAGAAGCGCTCGAGAAGGCGCGCGAAATCCAGCTCAAAGCCGACGAGGAGTTCGCCATCGAAAAGTCCAAGCTCGTCCGCCAAGAGACCGCCGCCATCGACACCCTGTACGAGAAGAAGTTCAAGCAAGCGTCCATGTCGCAACAGATCACGCGCTCCACGCTCGCCAACCGCACCCGGCTCCGCGTGCTCTCCTCGCGCCAGGAGCTGCTCGATGACCTCTTCCAGCAGGCCCGTGATAGCATCTCCGGCATTGCGACCAAGGACGCGAAGAAGTACCAGGCTGTGTTGAAGGGGTTGATCTTGGAGGGACTGTATGCTCTGAATGAGAGTAAGGTTGCGATTCGCGCGCGGGCGAAGGATGGTGATGCTGTGAAGGAGGCGATTGGGGAGGCCGAGAAGGAGTTTAATGAGGTTGTGGGTAAGGAGGTGTCGGTGGAGGTGGATGAGGAGGAGCCGTTGCCGGAGGGATCGTATGTTTCCCAATCTTTTTCTTCTCTCGAACGCTTAATTTCTAACGTCGTTTGTGCAGTGCTGGCGGTGTGGTCATCCTCGGCGGCCAGGGCAAGATCGAAATCAACAACACCTTCGAGGAGCGGCTGCGGTTGCTGGAAATCAGCGCCCTCCCGGCCGTCAGGGAGACGCTGTTCGGGAAGAACGAGAACAGAAAGTTCTACAACTAGATATATGCCTGTTATTCAGATACCTGTTCTCGGATTTCCCATTTGTTCCCATTGGTTGCGTCTTCCTATCTATGTAACTTGATTGATGCTGCGCCTTACGCCCGTTGTTCAGAGAACACCATAGCCCTGTGTACAGTCCATATACGTCTTTATCATCATATCTTCACTTGCAGGTCTTCCAATAAGATTGTAGTGGTTTCGCGGTCTGCAGTGGAGGCAAGCATCGCTAACATGGCAAACGAGGTGGATGTTGCTAATGATGACATTCTCGGTACTTGTGGGACGGCGTCGTGGATTCCAAAGAGGTCGTTAAGGGTCATTAAAAAGTCAGACAGCCCGCCAAACAAACAAAACCATGGGACCAGCCCGCTGGCCCCGGATAACACCAGACTCGTCAAAACAACCTCACTGTTCAGGATTACGGCTGGGCCGTGTATCGATCCATCATCTTGGTATCTCCATTATCGCTAGTAGCATAGACCCCAAATAGGCCCTTCTTAGGGCGCGGCTTCGTCCTAACGGAGTACAAGATGCGGTAGTGCAGGGCCTCCATAGCCTCCTTGGCAAGGGTGCGCTTGAGATGCGAGGCGCCCGAGTCTTCAATAGAGGTGAAGATCCGTCTGATGCGATCGGCGAGCGTGTCGACCGCGGCGTTATATTCGCGCTCTGCGTCCTTGGTCACGAAGGCTACGCCGGACCAGCCGGAGTCGATGGAGACGTTGAGGAGGGTGATGATGCCGCCGAGCTCGCCGTAGTCGTAGTCGTTGGCGCCTTTCTTTTTGTAGCGTTTTACGTTGAAGCGCTTGTCTTTGAGGAGGGTGACGGTTCGTCGGAGGTCGTGGAGTTTGTCGGGGGGCTGGGTTAGGAGGGTGGCGTCTTTGCTGAGGAAGCTGACGGCGAGGCGGTAGCGGAGGGTTGCGATTCGCTCGGTTGTGGGGATGATGTGGGTGAGGAGCCGGCTTTGGAAGATGGGGTCTTGGATTGTGGCGTGGGCTGTTGTGCAGACGGTGTTTGCCTGGTTTTGTTAGTAGAGCTCTGAAGCGTTGTGGAAGACTACTTACCAACTCTACTGCGTCGCCGGGCATGCTTAGGAGTATCTCGTTGATGGTCTTTTCGATCTCCGAGCAAAGGATTGGATTGCTGGTCAAGGTGACGTCGAGCGCGATACGGAAGAGAATGCTCAGCACGTGCTCTCGAGTATCGTCCGAGAGGCTGTTATCGCGTTAGGAGGAGACTTGATTGCAAGGAAAGGAGAATTACCGATCTGCCACTTCGCCGAGCAAGTTAAGAACTGACAACAGAGCTTCCTGTTTTTGGGAGGCAGTTGACAAGGCGTCATCTGCGCAGCGTTAGCTTTTGCTATTGCCCATATGCCACGGGTGGATTTACGTGGTGGGAGAGGTTGGGGAGTTATCGTTTCTGAAATAGACAGTGCTGAAACGCTCGTGCCCAACCGCTGGAATAGCTCATCTATTGTCTTCGGTCGTATAATTGACTGAATACGTTCTGCCGTTAAGTGCTATAGACAAGATTAGAACTGTGCGGGTGACTTGGTCAAAGGTACCGTGATATACCTTTAAAGCTCTGCAATACGCATGTCTCACACCTTCTCGAGGTTCGGATGGCACTGAGAGTGTAAGTACTTGATGGTTCTAGCCAAGGAGCAGACATACCAGATAATAAAATCCACTTGACCAACTCATCTGGCAACAGTCCTTTGGATAGAGCAAAATCTACCACGCCGGAATGGAACGCCCGCTCTCGCGACTCTGGTTCTGTGAATCATTTAGCACGAGGGCAGCAAGACTTGGACTATTGATATAGCACGAACCTAACAATGCACCGATATACGTTCCGGGACTAATTGACTTCCGTGGAAACGGTAGAGTCGGTACCTGAGTATCTTGGTAATCGAAGAAAGACCAGGACTTCTCGATGTCAAATGCCTCGGTTCTGCGAACAGCATCAAGTAGACGCCGTAGCCCTGGTCCATTGTCCTCACCATCCAAAGCAGACGTTAGGACGCCCTCGTTCAGCCGTCCACCTTCCCCACCTAGCTGTCCTTTGGTACCCGGTTTAACCTCCAACGTAGCTCTAAGTTGCGCAATGGTAGCCTCTGTCTCTTTATCGCCAACTGCCTCTGTAACGAGACTGTCTAGTGTATTCGTATATGTCGGGGCCGTACCGCGATACTGCGAAAGACTGCCAATCCTGAATCCACGCCCCGCGCTAGACAGACTTGAATGCTTCCGCGAGACATCGGGTCCATCATGGGGACCATCGTTCGGAGACGGGTTGCCGAACTTAAGGAACAGATCTTCGGGGTCTTCAAACGACTCGACAGATTCCGTATCATCTCCCTCCGAGTCGGCCACGACCTTCTCCCCCCTTTCCAGGGCGTGATGGACTGGATTCAAACCCAACGTCGTTTCCTTAGCCGGCGGTTCTGCCTTTCCCGGTGTTTTCAGATGCTGTTCCTTGTGGGTCCGGTCTGGCACAGAGCTTAGCAGCGACGTATTCAACTGCACCCCCGGTCCATCCGGGGTATCAGGAGATGCGTCCGCCAACAGGGTCGACGGCGGTGGTCGCGGTGTGGTGGCAGCCGCAGCCGCAGCCGCGGGGCCCTTTTTGGCTGGGGTCCGATCGTCATTTGTCGTCGCAAAATCCGGACGTCTGAAGAAAGCGGTAATGCGCGGCGGAGGCATGCCAGGCTCGTCGCGTGCGTAGATCTTATATGACGGTGGAGGTTGGTTTTGTTATCCCATCTCTCTTGGTCGAGCATACACGTCGAGCGCGCGTTGCGGTTGCCACGAAGTCACATGACCGCAGTGCATTGTCTGGTGTTTCTTTGTGTCGTGCGACCTGTTTCCACAAAGAGATATTGTAGGCTTCACGGTTTCTCGTCCGGATTTATGATAGTCTGCCTTTGGAGGCTTGTTCTGAGACTCTAGACAGGTTGTGAGCCGTGGTAGCGAGGCATCTACGAGGTATAATATTATCCTTGCTTTGACAAACTACAGTTCGTCCCACTGTCTATCAATATGGAGCTGATATAGCGAACCTCTATTATTCAGTTACATAATTACTTGAAATTAAATGTTTTATTTTACTATATTTATTTATATTTATAATGATATTTTATTGTTTAATAATTCATGTATTTATGAATATTTATTTTTTTCATTCCCTGTCCTTCCCCCCCCAACCACACTTAATATAAACACCATATGGCCAACCCCCCCCAGCTAGCACGGAGTAGCCCCTTTCCGCACCAAGTGCTCCGAGTCTCCGTCGGAGTATCGAGTCGTTTTGTCGCTGGCCGACGGGATCCCAAAGGCAGTGGACTCAGGCTCCATCTGACCACCGCCGAATCCGGCATAGTCTAGGGGCTGCGTACGAGGACGCAGATCTGACTTGGGTTTGCATCTTTGTTCCCCACAGCCTTTGCAGTTGATCTGGGCATTTGGTGTATTTTGGGCAGTACGAGTCAGACGAACATTGACATGGGAGGCTCTTTTTTTAAATATTTATTTTTTGATCTAGGAAAATTCGTAATCCGAATAAGCTGAAAGAAGCAGAACGTGGCTTGATGGCCAATACTTTTACCGCCCCCTCCTCTGACTACCACCAGGCTGTCTTCACCCAAGACTAGGATTAATTCTAGGCGGGAACCCCGCAAACAGATGCCTGCCTAGGAAGGCAGGCAGGCAGAAGTACAGTCAGCAAAGCGGTGCATCTTGCCATTTATAGAAATATGACAGGCGTGCCACATGACTTGACCTTTTGCCGAGAATCTGATAATGGGAGGTGAGAAGAGTCTGCAAATAAATCACTCGTCTTCCACCCTGAGCTGGACTGATCGATGGATAACGTTAAGAACCGCTATGGGACGATCATCGAAATTACACGGCGAAGCTACGCGCAAGATGGATGGAGCCACACTAAACTGCATCAAGTAAATGAGCTTCTAGAAATCGTGGAGCCAAGACTCGGAAAGGGGAGAGTTGGATACTAAGATGTTCTAAGAAAAGGGGGTTGGTCTAGCAGCTCACCAGCTTCGTGACCTTCTTGACCAACATAGGGATATCAACCCGAGAGTTCATCTCGAAGATTCCAGAGGATGGAGTCACTAAATCTACAATATATGCAGCTGACAACTTATGACGGGATAAGCGGATTCTCCTCGTAAATTATCCGTACTTTGTAAGCAATCAACTTGAGGGGAGACCCAAGCTAATGCACAGTCCATGTCCTTCACAGACCAAGTGAAACAACCTGACCAATTTTAATTAACAGACAGCCTATTAATTACATACACTAGCTACAAGTTTAGGTGTGAAAATTTGCAACTCGCATAGAACTGAATCTTCCCACTCGGAAATATGAAAAATATGATGCATAGCTGGTAAAGTGATATAATACGAGGATTTATTTATTTCATGATGATCAGCGATAGTATACTCCATACACACAGGTGGAGTTGGACAATCTCTTCACTCTACCATAGTATTGGAATTCAATACCACCAGATGTGATGTCCGCGATAGAGTATGAGCATGTGCCGTCTCTTATACCTTAGCCTGTTTCAGACCCTATCCTCCGAGCTCTTCCCCCCCTTATAGCCAAGACTCGAAGGTGGGTGGGTGACTTTTCCTATCCCATGAACTTTGTACGAGGGTTGAATGAATTTTACATCATCGGTATGACAATGGGTGGGTTTATACGGAGTATACATTTCTGGCTCTGCTCTCCGATGTTTGATAGTCGGATTTTCTGCTAGTCAGATATTTCCGTCTTCTCAGTGTCAAGGCTGATAGTCAGATTTTAACCCGTCTTCTCAGTGTGTCAAAGCCATATACTAAGGTAGTATTGTGTTTGATTTCTAATATCCAGGCTGACAGAGCAGTGAGAGCCTGCATGCCGTGGCTTCCGAAAAGGATTGCCTCAATGAAATATGACCTAATGCTTGGTATCCGGGAGGTAGAAACAAGGGTAAGGCCAACCAGACTCATGGATCGATCAAAATGACGAATGATTCTGGCCTCTCTTTTCTATTGACCTTCGATCTTTTGGGACAACCTGTCCACTTCACTATGCTAAGACCGAACCCGTGCGGGAGAAATTCGGTAACTATACGGCATCGGGCTGGGTTTCCAATTGCTGGTCTGGTCGACGGGACCGTTGGAAAGACAGTTGGAGCAACCCATACTTCGGACCAAATCAAGTCCTTCATATTTTCTGGGCCATCGTATCCGAATTCCGAAATCTTATATCCAGGCTCTGATTTCATTGCTTGTTCTTGCCACCACCCCGAGATTTTTCGACGTGAACCACATTGTATGCTGCAGTCTGGGGCGAGGCTGGTGTATAGTAAAGGCTTGGCTAGGGGTTCCTCGTGGTATTGATACGTTATACTCTGTATTTTACCCGTTATGCAATCTCAGCATAGGGAGGGCCGACTATCCGACCCCATCGTCAGCAATTATAATCATCTAAGCCATTGTACAATTGGTCTCTTGGTTTCCTTTGAGAATAATCATAATACACAAATCTCACCGTCCTTGGCTAGAAATTCGGGTCTTGCCTGGTGTAGAAAACTCTGGAGCCCATTGGTCTTTTCCTTAATAATAGTTGAAACTTGGCTATCCCTGGTTAAACGAGTCAAGCTCCCCTGTATACTGCTGACAAAGGTTATGAATATGAATTCCTTCCGACGAACCGTGTACGGGTGGCGTATTGTTTGGTAAGATACTTACCATTCTCGTCACTCTTTTTGGGGGGTCAAAGGAGGGTGTTTCTGCTCTCCACGAAACGCCATTCCTTCTGCTCGCTCTCTCTCTCTCTCTCTCTCTCTCTTCCTCTTCCTCGTCCTACTTATCTTTTCCTCCGAACCATACTTCCCTCCTTCCAAAGCCTTTGAAGGATAAATCAGTCCCCCCTCCTCGTTTTTGCTTACTCCGTCATATTGCTTATTACATCGCATACTCCATGGCCCATCGTGGCTAAGCTCGACTTTCCCCCTCCTTTACAACCCTTGTACATCCTCACTGCCTACTCGTTGTCAGCCTTGTTTTTCCGGCCTTGTTCGACGGAACCTTCTTGACTCCCAATTGCGCCTTGACGTTCGACATCCCGACCGCGATTTTCTTCCACGCCTCACCCTCCCATCTACGAACACTTTGCTTTACTCTCCGATTAGTTCGCTCGCCCTATTTGCCCTGCGACAAGAATCAACCTAGGGGACGTGTCGCGAACGGTCTGCGTTAGTGGGTTTCGGGCCCATCGGAGCGGATGCTCTCCCTCCCTCGTCTCAATAACACCACGGTTGCTTATTACATGCCCTCTCGAGGGCCAGAAGTAGCCTAGATGGCTCCAGCCAACTTTCCTGGGGAGAACAGCGATGTCCCCGAGGAGATCCGGGAGACTCCTAGCGACATCTCACAACCCACCAAGCGTCAGCGATGGGCAACCACCCGCGTTGGCGGCACCGGAGGCACGCGGAAACGTGTCTCCATCATGGACCGCTTGCACAAGCGCTCGGAGGGGAAAGGGGAGAAGCGGAGGTCTCAACTGCCCACCGCTGAGCACCCTAATGGTGAAGGCGACTCGGACGCCAACAATCGACGGGTGTACTTCAACGTCCCCATCCCCGACACCGAGAGAGACGAGGACGGTCACCCTAGGGCGAATTATCCTAGAAACAAGATTCGGACCGCGAAATATACGCCCTTGACGTTCGTCCCCAAGAACTTCTGGTTTCAATTCCATAACATCGCCAACATCTATTTCCTTTTCATCATTATCCTTGGCGTACGCTTCCAACTCATTCCCAGACAGATTCGCGATGTCTCTGTGCTAACAATAACCCTTGTCTAGTTCTTCCCAATTTTCGGTGTCGATCAACCCGCACTCAATACTGTCCCCCTGATCGTTATCATCGTCATCACCGCCATCAAAGATGCCATTGAGGATTGGCGCCGTACGGTCCTCGATATCGACCTGAACAATTCCCCCGTATATCGTCTTATCGAATGGAACAATGTCAACTCTGTCGAAGACAATATCTCTTTGTGGCGCCGTATCAAGAAAGCGTCTACTCGGGCTACTGTCTGGACGTACCGGACCATTAGGGACGTGTTTCAGAAAAAGAAAGACGTTCCCGCCACTGAAGAGACCGATCGGCGTGCGTCTATCATGACGACTGTTTCGCCCCGTGCCTCGACCTATTCCCATCGCGGTGACCATGGGGTCGACGAAGACGCCATCCAAATGACGCCCGTCCCGTCTCCCTCGCCCGAAGCACGTCCGGATTGGCCAATGTCGACGGAACAGTTTCTTCACCCGGATAAAGCGGTTCGGGACAGTTCGGTGGTCCCGACTACCTCAGCTACGCCCCCCAGGAAAGGCGGCAGCGTGGTGGACACGGCTAAACAGACGCTCGGAAAGGCCCGATTCAAGCGGGATTACTGGAAGAACATCCAGGTTGGGGATTTTATTCGGTTGTATAACGGGGATCCGATCCCTGCTGATATGGTGGTCCTGTCGACTTCTGACCCTGACGGTGCGTGCTACGTGGAGACCAAGAATCTGGACGGCGAAACCAATCTCAAAGTCCGCTCGGCTCTCCATTGTGGCCGTCAGGTCCGTCATGCCCGGGATTGCGAAAAGACCGAATTCGTCATTGATAGCGAGCCCCCACACCCCAATCTCTACGCCTACAATGGAGCTCTGCGTTGGGAGCAGCGTGACCCGGATTTCCCGGATGCGCCGCGGAAGGAAATGGTGGAACCGATCACAATCACCAATGTGCTGCTGCGTGGATGCTCCCTTCGCAACACCGAATGGGCGCTTGGTGTTGTCATCTTCACCGGTGATGAGACCAAGATCATGCTGAACTCTGGTGTTACACCCACTAAGCGCGCCCGCCTCGCCAAGGATCTGAACTGGAACGTCATCTACAATTTCATCATCCTGTTCTTCATGTGTCTCATCTCCGGCATTATCAACGGTATCAGATGGGGCTCCAACAACAGGTCCCTCAACTACTTCGACTTCGGAGCGTACGGGAGCACCCCGGCTGTTACCGGTATCATCACGTTTTGGGTGGCGGTCATCCTGTTCCAAAATTTGGTTCCGATCTCACTTTACATTTCGCTCGAAATCGTTCGCACGATTCAGGCCGTGTTCATTCACAGCGATATCTTCATGTACTACGACAAACTACAGATCGCTTGCATCCCGAAATCCTGGAATATCTCCGATGACGTCGGGCAGATCGAGTACATTTTCTCGGATAAGACCGGCACATTGACTCAGAATGTCATGGATTTCAAGAAGTGCACAGTCAACGGTGTTTCGTACGGAGAAGCTTTCACGGAAGCTCAGATCGGCATGGTCCGCCGAGAAGGAGGAGACGCCGATGCGGTTGCTGCTAGAGCACGCGAGCAGATCGCTCGCGACACGGATAAAATGATCGCGCTGCTGCGCGATTTGCATGATAATCCTTATCTGCGCGACGAGAATTTGACTTTCGTCGCGCCGAGTTATATCGCGGATTTGGATGGTCAATCTGGCGAAGCCCAAAGGAAATCCGCGGAGCACTTTATGGTCGCTCTTGCGGTATGCCACACGGTGATCACGGAACACACGCCCGGCGATCCTCCACAGGTTGAGTTCAAGGCCCAATCGCCCGACGAAGCCGCCTTGGTCGGTACCGCTCGTGATTGTGGTTTCACCCTCGTGGGACGGTCAGGCGACGACCTTGTCCTGAACGTCATGGGCGAGGAGCGGACATATACCGTGCTGAACACTTTGGAATTCAATTCTGCCAGAAAGAGGATGAGTGCTATTATCCGCATGCCCGACGGGAGCATTCGACTCTTCTGCAAGGGTGCGGATAGCATCATCTATTCTCGACTGGCCCCCGGCAAGCAGCAGGAACTCCGCAAGAAAACGGCCGAACACCTCGAAGAGTTTGCCCGTGAGGGTCTGCGTACGCTGTGTGTTGCCGATCGCAAGCTCACCGAAGAGGAGTACCGCGTCTGGAGCAAAGAACATGACATTGCCGCAGCTGCCCTGACAGACCGTGAAGAGAAGCTCGAAAAGGTATCAACTGAGATGGAGCAGGACCTTATGCTTATCGGCGGTACTGCTATTGAGGATAGATTGCAGGATGGTGTCCCGGATACCATCTCTCTCCTCGCCGACGCCGGTATCAAGCTCTGGGTGTTGACTGGCGACAAGGTCGAGACTGCTATCAATATTGGATTTTCGTGCAATCTTCTCAACAACGACATGGAGCTTCTTGTATTCAATGTCCCCGAGGACCAAATGGATCGAGCGGAACAGGAACTCGACCGGCAGCTGCAACGGTTTGGCATCACTGGGTCAGACGAGGAACTCATCGCCGCCCGCAAAGACCACACGCCTCCGGAACCGACGCACGCCGTGGTCATCGACGGAGATACTTTGCGACTGATGCTGGACGACAAGCTGAAACAGAGATTCTTGTTGCTGTGCAAACAGTGCAAGTCTGTACTTTGCTGTCGTGTCAGTCCGGCCCAGAAAGCTGCGGTCGTGCGCATGGTGAAGAACGGTCTCAATATTATGGCTCTTTCAATTGGCGATGGTGCAAACGATGTCGCTATGATTCAAGAAGCCGACGTTGGTGTCGGTATCGTTGGTGAAGAAGGACGACAGGCAGCCATGTCTTCCGACTATGCCATCGGGCAGTTCCGCTTCCTTCAACGGCTTATCCTCGTCCATGGCAGGTACTCGTACCGCCGCATGGGAGAATGTATCGCCAACTTCTTCTACAAGGTATGTGTCTAGATCTCTAACTGAAATGGTGTCTATAGACCGATCGCTGACATTTTTGCAGAATCTGGTTTGGACAATCGCACTGTTCTGGTACTTGATCTATAACGATTTCGACGGTTCCTACCTCTTCGACTATACTTATATCGTCTTGGTGAACGTTGCATTCACGTCCTTGCCTGTGATCTTCCTTGGCATTTTCGATCAAGATGTCGATGATAAGGTTTCCCTAGCTGTACCTCAACTGTACATGCGAGGTATCGAACGAAAGGAGTGGTCGCAGTTGAAGTTTTGGTAAGTTGTACCTCTTTATCCAACAGGGTTGCTCGATCTAACTAGAAACAGGATGTACATGCTGGATGGTTTTTACCAGTCGGTCATCTGCTTCTTCATGCCGTACCTTCTATACAGCCCTTCGACCTTTGTCCGCGAAGACGGGTTGAACATCAACGACCGAACCCGAATGGGTATCCTAGTCGCATCTAGCGCGGTTATTGCCAGCAACACATATATCATGCTGAACAGTTTCCGGTGGGACTGGCTGACGATGCTGATCAATGTCATCAGCTCGCTTCTGATTTTCTTGTGGACCGGGATTTACTCCTCGGTCCCGGCCTCAGCCCAGTTCTACAAAGCCGGTTCAGAAGTCTACGGGGCCCTGTCTTTCTGGGTTGTCCTGCTTCTGACTGTCACGATATGTTTGCTCCCGCGCTTTACCTTCAAAGCGTTCCAGAAGGTGTTCTTCCCGCTTGACGTGGACATTGTCCGTGAGCAAGTCACTCAGGGCAAGTTCAAGTATCTGGACCAGTATGACGCATATGTTCCACCTAAGACGGGGCCTGCGCCCGCTGGTGGTTACAGTGATGATTCAGCAGCATCCTCAGATTTGGGTAAACCAATCCAGTCCAGTATGAAGCAGGACCCCTTCTCAGACGAGCAGCAGATATATCCGCCGTCAATGGCGCGCGCGACGTTCGGCCACAACCCTCGTAGCCAGAACGGAAGCAGCGGGACAAACTATGCGTCTAGTCTGGACACAACCCAGCATGCGCACCCGCAGGTAGTGGACTATGCCCGGCACGATCAGACGCGTCATTCCTTCGACCAAGATCAGTCGTACTACAACAACCATGATCTAATACGCGTCGATACTAACCTCACAGGGGGCCATGAACCACCAATGCCGCATAGTCCGCTCAAGGGCCCTTATGATCCTTCGACGCACCATGCATGACCTTTTTCTTTCTTCCTTCATTTTCATCTTCATTTTCATCTTCATTTTCATCTTCATTTTCATTTTCTGTTTTCCCTTTCTCCTGCGTACTGACATGATGGTTTTTGTGATTCCCCTTGTTGGTTTCATTTTTCCTGTCGACGTATCTGATTTGTCCATTATCTCTTGACGAGTTACCTCATTTTCTTTCTTCCTGTTTGTCTTTTTGCTTATTTCCCTTCTACGCACCGACTTTTTTTATTCCCCCATAGAAGGCGTTCGGTATACAGAACTGGCTGGTGGTTCGGCGCAACATTTTCATTTTGACATCTCTATCCTATCATTCCTATCCTATCCTACCTTATTCACCTACTTGGTGGTGTCATGTTTTTCTTCTTTTCTTTTTCTTTCTTTATTTCTTGTACAAAAGCGTTTTAACTTCACATTCCTCTGTCGTTTGTTGCGCATGCATCCACTCGACCTTGTGACACCCCTTTTTCTTTTCTTTTCTTTATTCCTTTTTTGTTCCTTTTATATAATTGAGATAACTTTAGTGAACTGGACCTTTTGGTTGATGTTTATGCCTAATTTTCCCGTGTGGTGAAGTCGAGGTTTGGAATGGGAGGTGGTGTGTTAAGTGGTTATAGTTATGTCTGGTCTAGTATATCAAGCAAGGGCCGTGGCCTTTCTATTCGAGATGCCACTGTTGATCATCTATTTAGCAAATATCATATTAGAGCCGAGTTCATAAATCTTTCAGACCTCGTAGACCATCCCACCCCGTCCTTAGGCGCGCGGGGTATTTCAGTATACCGTTATCAAAATTCCAATGGTTCGAGGGACGTATAGAACAGAGGGGATCTACCTATAACATGGTGCTACACTACTAAAGGTTTACCACCTTGAGTACGAAGTAGGGGTAAATTGATATAATACCTGGTTTTTCGTATGTCACCAGTGTATAGATCTAATATAAGGATTTTAGATTGATTACTTTGCGGTTTAGGGTGTTCTAATACATCTATGAAACAGGCTGCTCTAAAATCTAAGGATGATGACTCTAACTTCAGGTGACTGAGACTGACCAGTTACTATCTTTGCCAGTCGAATGGTCATACTGTTCATAGACCAAGACCTGCTGTGTATCAACGCGTGCTGTTTGCCAGGTACATAGAAACTCTATAGTTACCGTTTGTAGTAAAAAGTAAGTGGCGCGTCTTCGCGCGTAAAGTGGCTGATCAAAACACCTCACCGCCTTCCACCCAGACCAGTAATATGCGGCACGGGATCCACTGGGATTTGTACTGCAGTGAGTTGCCGCCTGTGTTTTTCATTTCATTCACTCTGCATCGACAAGTTCTCCTGTTGTTGCTGGGAGTGACTAGTATCTTTTGTGGATATATCATTCCCTTGGAAAGGGGGTCAGTCACGGACCTCAATTTTGTTCACTGTCTGTTTGCATTTGAGCGAGTGATCTGATACTTTCTAGTGACAAAGAGCTGTCAGGGAAAGTGAAGGAGAAATTGATTTCCTACGCTCATCCCCCCCTCTGACACTGTTTGTTTTCTGTCGCCACGTGCCCAGAATGGTGGTTTAAGGTGATTTTCCACGGAGGAGAAGCTCTTAATGTTGTAATTGTTCAGGAGTCTCTCACTTGTATTATTCATAGAGAGATTGGCGGTCTGTTCCTTCTTTGGAAGAGGGATGTGTGGTAGTCTTGCTTCTCCATTGACGAGCTACCCCCGGAATACCGTACAGTAGCCATGGAGTTCATGAATCTTGTTGGGTTAGTAATTTCTACATCTCCTACCTGCGTCCTCCTCTCCTACTGTTTCTGTCCTACTGGCAGTCGAGCGTGATAACTGAATGATATTTTCTGCAGGGAGCTCCAGGCCCTCCCCGACAATATCCACCTCCTGTGCGCCCGACAACACGACGACGACCACGGAAGATACGATGACCCAGATCAAACAGACGAGTCCGGCAAGAAGGTCTCCGACCTCATCGCGGAGGCCACCCAGCGCAGAGAGAAGTTCCTATCATGCATGCGCATTCTAGCCTACAACCAGGACGGCGTCGAGGAGCTCCAGGCCTGGATCTGGCGGAAGTTGGACGACACGCTCGAGAAATGCGACCTCTGCATCAAGCAGTACTACACCGGGAAGATCTGGCTCATGGAGCAGCTGAAGGAGAACTACGACGACGAGGACATCGAAAAGTTCGCGCGCATGATCGACGATTGGGATATCAAGCGCATCACGAAGAATCTGGCTACCGCGACGGCGAAGTTAAAGGAGATTCCGCCGCAGGAGATCGGGCTCCATGTGCTGGACCGTGCGTCGCTGCTCTCTATCTTTGAGACTCTGAGTTGTGATGCTATGCTGCGCAATGATAGTCTTCTGAAGGAGCACTTCGATGAGCCGTTTAGGCTGATTCAAACGAAGCGTACTTTGAAGGTGTCGGACTACATTCCTGCCGTTACGCGCTTCTTGTTTGATCCCAACCAGAATCGCAGCTTTTGGGCTATCCACTCGTGGATGCGATATCCTCGACCCCCGACGACTCTGGAGTTCGACTGGGCTGTTAAAGAAGGGCTCTTGGATGCGCTCCGGATGGCGTCTCAACAGCCGCCTCAGGTAGCTTTGATTCAGCGACTTTGGCGTGGTATGCAGCTTGTAGTGAAGAGACTGGATAAGGATCAGATCACCCACCAGCTCCGCGCCCTCGAAATCGACCCCTGCCGCCTGTCGGTGGAACATCTGTCAATACAGTCGCCCGGCTTACGGTTCCTGTTGAACACGATTCAGATCTTCCTGGAGAAGGCGCCAAGTGATTTCTGGGATGCGATGCAAACGATATCGCCCCAGGCCATCATCGAGCAGGTCTTCTACAACCCCCAGCTAGAAGCCTTTCTCAAACAGGCATCTGAGGGAGAGCCGTATGAAAAGTCTGCCATGAAAGACATGCTCTCATGGGTCGGTCCGTTCATGTCGTCGTTGAAAGGCGCCCATCAGCCTTCTGCGTCCAGGCCCCTGGCATATCAGCTTCTGGATCGGTTACAGAAACCCGTGTTCCCGAATCTGGCGAGGTATCATTGCTTTCACGTCGGCCTAGCGAGCCTTCTCCACACCCTCCGCAGTTTTACTGACCATGAATCATCGAGAGGTTCAGTAGAACGTGTCGTTCTGTCTGAGACCATGGGGGTCGTAAGTGCGAACATCGAGAGGATCCTCGAGCCGCCCAGCTTCGCTGTGGAACAGGGCCGGCAACGAGAAATCACCACCCTTTGTATGGATGTTATTCGTAATACGTTGGCTCTCGAGTGCCAATCCCTTAAGAGTGACTACGAAGTGATCCTTCGGCAGAACTCCCTCCAGCATGGCGTAAGCACCTATTCCGCGACTATCTGGGATGCAGTCGTGAAACACCTGCATCAGGATAACCTGGCTCTGTCAACGTCTGCCCTTCTTGGCATATTGCCACTGGTAGGCCTGGAGAAGTTTCCTACGAGAGGCGAGGCCAGTCCGGAAAAGACGCACTTCAACGTGATCTACGGCCATTTGACGCACCTTTCGTGTCTAATTATCGAGCGCTTGGCGGATTTCAAGCCAGAGCATCTGGACGAGCTGTTCAAAAGCCAGGACACGAGTAGTGCCTTGATATCCGCTCTGTTCGCCGCGGATCTCAATACCTACCAGGCTGCCGTCGATCTGATCAAGAATGTCAGCGGCCAGTCCGCCCGGCGAGATGCCATATCTCATCTGATGCAGTCGTTTTTCACCACTACCATGTACGGTCTGAGCTGGTCGTTCCGGCGCATTTCCAACATGAAAACGTTTGCCTCTGCGCCGAGGATGATCCACACAGGAACGGACATCGTGGATATCCTCTGTGACACCCAGACCGGCATGCTCAGAACTCGCAAGCTTGCCGACCGCCGCGAGATCCTCTCGCTGCAAAAGCTTTGGGAATATCTATGGCAAGCCTTGACCACCATATTCGACGAGACGGAATCGTGGCATCTCAGGGGCAATGATAAGTCTGTGATGCTCGAATTCTGCCGTGATAGTATCCAGTTCGCGGATCTTCTCTTTAGCCAGTACAGTGTCTTTCTAAGTGCTGTGGTTGACGCCGACCCCAATCAGGAAGTTTCTGCCCGCGAAAACTTCCTCAAATCCCCCACGACAACAATGAGTGCAATGGTGAAGTGGCTGCGACTCAAGGACGAATACCTGGCGACTACCTTGGTTGGTCTCGTGGCGAAGCTTCTCCGGCGGCTTGGGGAACTCAGCGTGACAACCGTGAAGGAAGATGCCTTGAAATTCATCGAGGGAGTTGCGGTCAACTCCACCATCAAAACGATTTTGACTCTGCGGGAGAAGGCAGAGCTCGTGCGCGCCTTGGAGGCTTACTACAAGAAACCCGTTGTTACTGCATCGACCGCCAGCCTCAAAAAGCAGAGCTCGATCACCACGTTTGCCCGACCCGCCGATCAGGTAGCTACTCCTAGTCCACCAAAGACAGGGGACGAATTCGATGATAACATCCCTGACGATGTTCTGCTACAACTGTCCCGATCCGTGGAGCTTAACAAGGAGAGGGTGGCGACAGAGGCCAAGAGGAAGGCAGAAAGAGCTGCCAAGTCACGGCTGATTGCTCCTAAGCCAGTCCCAGCACCCCTGAAGCCCAATACATCCGTTCAAGCTTTCCGTGAAAAGCGGGAGAGAGAACGGGAGGCCAAGAAGAAGCGCGACATGGCCGAGCTGGCGCGCTGGAAAAAGAGTCTCCCTGCTGCTGGCGTCGCGGAGCTAACAGCCGAGCAAGGTTCTGGGTTGTCTGGCATTGGAATCCAGGGCAAGGATCATACACCGGCAGATAGTATGATGGTCTCGTCCGATTCCGAGTCCGATTCGGAAAGCGAAGATGAACTCGACAAGGAGCTCTTCGGCGCAAAGGCAAGCTCGAAGCCTGATGCCGTCAAGGCTTACGAGGAAAGCAAGAGGTTGTCGTTGAAACAACAG